TCCCCGGGCGCCAGCTAGTTAGGGGCGCCAAAATGTGCTTTGATATTATTTTATTGATGAAAATAATGGGTTTGAGAGTTGAAAAAAAGAAAAAGGGGTGCTAAAAATGGATCTTGTCCCCGGGCGCGAATCTTGTCCCCGGGCGCCAAACACCCTTGCTCCGCCACTGGTTCCATTCAATTACTTTCATTTTTATTTTTAAAGTTCGTTTCCATCATAGTATCTACAATATATTATTAAAGCAATTCTTATGAATGCAATACAATCTGTTTTTATATAATTTTATTTAGTTGTTGTTATTTAATAGACGAAAAGAGTATCGAAAGGAAAATATTCACGGGTGAATTGACACACACGATTAAGGTGAGCCCCTGGTAAGACAAGAAGAGACAGACCACATTGGAAACCAGAAAATAAGACAGATGGTTGTTGCCACATTGCCAACCCCAATCAGCCCGTGCATGTCTGGACAACAAATTAATTGGTTTTGGCGTGAGTGGTCAGTGTCTGTCTACCAACCTGCTTTGTAAGTGCAAGTATAAAATAGCAGGCACTACGGTTTCAGAAGAAGACCACGCTGGTGATGGACTGACTGTGTTAAGGACACCTTAAAAAATACACAAAAAATTAATAGATTTAGAAAAATATGTTATATATTCGCATCGTTCTCACTCCCAAAGCCTTTGAACTCTCAAAAATTTAAATGGAACGAAAAAAAAAGGGGGTGGGGGGGTGGTACCGACTTCCAGGATGGATTAGTTCTTGTTAAAATAAGACCACATTATAGCAATATATTCGCATCGTTCTCACTCCCAAAGCCTTTGAACTCTCAAAAATTTAAATGGAACGAAAAAAAAAGGGGGTGGGGGGGTGGTACCGATTTTTTTTTTTTTTTTTTTAAACTCCCGACATAAGCCAAAGTTACTCTGTGTTACACTAAAAATTCGGACGAATACAATTTCAAAACAGAGAAAAGCCTTTTATAATATTTGCCAGTTTTATAATGTATATATATTGAAATTTTAATTTCAGAATTGTAGGCAAGGCACATTTTTTTTAAATAAGCTATTTTGCTGTCTATGCAATTCTTGTAAAAGAGCTTATTTACTACGCAGTCCTTTATTTATTATCCTCTGTTGGTGACAGAATTTCTAAATGCCACTTTTTCAACGTGGTGTTCTTAACAAGCCAAATGGTGAGTTCTTCTTGTACATTTTTAAGCATACGGCAGTTGCTTATCCAGAAACTGTATGGGATATGGACACACAAAATGTCATAAAATCCATTAAACAAGTAAAAATGTTGTTATAGTGTTCATCTACCTACAAATAAGTAATATCCTCTGAATAAAAGTGCATGTATTTTCCAAGATTGAAATTGAATCAAGATTAATTTAAGAACATCAGAGCGCTGTGAGCATGCTTAAGTAGCATGAATACAAGTGCTATATAAATATTCAATTAAATTCAAAGGGAACCTTAATTTCCACTAGAATATATTATGTTGCTGTTCAATCAAGTGTAGAAAGGTGAAATATTAAATTCTGGTATGCGCCAAAATGCACACTTGCATTTTGAATGCATCAAAAGTTTCTGGGGAGGGGCTCACTTTTTGTTCTGGATCCTGCTGCGTCCTCAAATTCTGCTCAGTCCCCGATTAAAGTGACAGTACAGACATATTGTGATCTACAAAAAATATGTATTATTGGACTATATAGATTCCTGGGGCAAAACTGTGCATGACGTAGTGACGGAGACAGAAATGACTCTGGATGACCAAGTCATAGATACACTAGGCAACATTATTCCCCCCCCCCCCGGGGTCGCCTTTTGATGAAACTGTCTGAAAGAAACAACTGAAATAATGCATTAGCCAGCCTTGTCCCCTTATACTTATACTTTTTCTTGAATAGGTTGGAAAATTAGGGTGCCTCATTATTTTGCCCAAAGACTCCGTTGCTGTTACGACGGCCCTGCCAGGGGTGTCTATCCCCCCTGTGTGGTAAAAGGCAACCCCACCCTTTGTTTTCTCTCCGGTACCTTGTCCTTGGTCAATTCTGCATGGTATTTAATTAGAGAGTCCACTGTAAGTATTATTAATACAAACATTTACAGTTAAAATGTGTTTGAACATTGTTGACTATTTAATAAATTATAGCAATCTCGCTATTAACTCAATCATTCTTCACCGTTTTCACAAAAACAAAATATCAAATCCAATATTTGTTCAAAAAATGTAGTCTATAACATTTATTTTAGTTGTATTTCTGAAAAATAAAAAGCCCAAGCAGTGGCGCGATGGCTAAGCTGTCAAAATTGTGCCCACGACACATTTTTTAATGTTATTATTTTTTTTTATGTGTACATCACGTGTGCACATGCGAATTACTAGTTGTTGTTTTGACTTTTTTTCGTTAAAAAATATATCATCCTATAGTTTATGATAATTATGGAAAGAAGTGTTGCTGGCAGTGTAGACAGTGTAGTTGAGGACAAGTGTAAAACATTAGCCATATAGGAAAACATATTTTGCGCTTTTAAGAAATTGGCCTATGCCTATACTTTGAACTAATTATTTTAAGAAAACGGTTGCTTAAAATAAAAAAATAATAATTTGTTCGATTAAAAAAACACACACAAAAACCCAGCTCGGAGCACAAGGCTGGATGTCGGCATTTAGAGATATCAAATTTACCTTTATGAGACGTAATAGTGTGTAGTGTGTAGTACGAACTACAACTATCAATCATAGTGTGCAGTGGAAAAAAATTGTATTTCTTTGTTTTGAGCTAATTAATGTATGTGTGCTGAGCACGCTGTGTAATATTTCTTCAGTGAGCCTATTCATAACTGAGATCATTATTTGATTAGCTTATTTAAGTTTTAATTATTTTTAAGCAATTATTAAAATTAATAATGAATTAAATTTAAATTAAATAACAAATAATTTGTTAATAGTTAAATTAAAATTAGTTAGTCAATCACTCAATTGTCAATACTAAAACTGAAAAAAAGACTAATCTAATCAACTAGTATTACTATTAGTATTAGTAATTAAATTAGTAATGATTAGGCTTAATACTAATACTACTACTAATAGTACTAGTACTAGTCTAGTATTACAATTAGTAAATTAGTAATTTTGTCATAAAATTATAATTTTACAATTAGTGGTAAATTTTGACTACGATTGCCACTATTTTCTCAATGGCCACCATCTTGGTTAACACGTGACGTGAAGTCATCTATCCCTATGCCTAACCTGAACCCTAAATCAATCCCTATGCCTATGCCTAACCTGCAACCCTAAATCGATCCCTATGCCGCTTAAACCTGAACCCTAAATCGATCCCTATGCCGCTTAAACCTGAACCCTAAATCGATCCCTATGCCTATGCCTAACCTGAACCCTAAATCAATCCCTAAAATAATGTAGTACAAATAAACAAAGGGAAGTCACTCCCTGGAAAATAAGTTGTGGCAATCGTAACTAGGATTAGCCCAATTGGTAATTTGGCCCTATGGCAATGGATAGGGCCTGTACTATGACGAGGCCTATGTCATTAGAGTTAGAGTAGCCTATACTTATAATGTACTATAATATAAATTGATAAGCATAATTTATAATGAATAATATTAATAATTTGAATTATAATTAGTCTACAAATTTTGAATAGCCCAAAACTAACATTTAAGTTTAAGCCTAGACCTACAACTATAAAGTAAAGGAATTAAACAGGAATAACTTAGTCTAGAACAGTAAAAGTAAAGGGGTAAGTAAGTTAATTCAATAAGGTAAGAACTACATTTTTCATTATTGAAGCACGACTAAATCATTATTATTACATTAGTTGATAAATTTAAACCTAAAATTTAACAGTAATAAATTACAAAAAATTCAGTGTCAATTGACTCAAGCCTAGCGGGACAGTGTTTTTTTTTAAATATAAAATATAATAAAAGAAAGGGCAACTTATCATGTGATATATTATATATATAGGCAATTAAAATATCCCAAATAGAGTTGCTGAGGTCACAGGCAGAAACAGTAAAAAAAAAAGGGGGAATGATTTTAATTATTAAAGAAAAATATTTTTAATACAACTTAGAAGCTATCCTTAAACGACATCACGCTCATTTTTGTGAAGGGGTGTCACAGATTTATGAATAGACTATGTGTAGTAATTGGTGAACTGGAAGACGTCTACTATAACTTAATTGTAACTAAGTAAGAGTAACTGCAGTTACCAATACCAATGGCCACACAAATAAATTGACATAGGCCTTAAAAAAAAACCACTAACCATTGATGATAGGTTTGCCAAACTTACTGTCATATAAAAGTATTAATACATATCTGTACATTTATCCTGTAATTCCATAATTCATCAATTGTATTTTCAATTTTCTCATGTTTTCCTATTAGAAAGCTGCTTATTGCATCAACATTTTATTTTTTTAAGTATACTTATCATTTATGGGTTCAAAAGTATTATTTAATTTATGTTCGTATGATTATTTTTCACTGGTGTTGTAGTGTGGTATATTTTGGGTAAAGAAACCTGATACAGCAATCTTTAAAGTTCATTTCAGCTTTGGTTAGTTTTTATGAGTCTTGTCTTTTTAGACTTTCAGATCTCTCCGAGTTTTTCTACCTTTCGATCTTTTCAAGTTGTTCACAAGCGTGACTAATTTCACTCAGCAAAAGAAAAGAAAATTTTGTAAGCTCTACTATAACAAAACTTTGTTTTCATTTTATTTCATTTATTAGATTTACAACAAATTAAAACAAATTGAATCAATTGAGAAAATGAAGCGGGAAGCTGAAGAAAAATCTCAGTTGCTTCCAAAGTTTGCCAGAATATCATTACCTGAAAGCGACGGTAGTTCTAGGGGAAATAACTCAACATCAGCTATGCCATCCTCTTGGTCACCTGAGCCAGAACAATCTAAGCCACTAAATAGTATTAACAGAGGCCCCATGATCTCAGAAAGTACCACTGATGGAAGTTCTGGCCCTGGCAGCAGTCATTCTGGTGCTGCCAGGACAACAGCCATTAGTGATCTGCCGGGAGTAATCAAGACAGAAGCAAAAGCTGATTTGACATCTGCGGTCCCTTCAAGATTTACAATGCTGTTGGATCGAGAACCAACTGTATTTCCAGCTGTGGGTCGTATTCGAGGAGAAGGGCGAATCAGAAGCATTTCTGCATCTGAGTCAAATCTTACTGCCACCAGATCTCACCAGTCTGTTGTCCATGAATTCAGAGCAGATCATCACAGCCATATCTCATCTGTGATAAAACATGGGCCCCACCCTGTTATACTGCAACAGATACCAGGATTTGAAAGACAAACCAGCTCTCAAAAAAACTTAAACTCTCTCCCTAGTAAATCAGCTAATATATACAATCAAGCTAGTCTTCAGAATATGTTGGAAGTCCAACATCCACATTTGTTGCCATTTGTGAATTCCAATCATTCAAAACCCTTAGAAATGACCACTACTAGTATAAGTCAGAATCATGGTCATTCCGTGTTAAACTCTGCCAGCTATCCATTGTCTTTAGAAACTCACAGGAACATTACACCAGCTTTACCAAACAATGGCAGCAGCACATCAGCGGCACATCAAGTAATTAACTGTCTCCCAAGTTTTAGGGGAAATCATTTAACATGTTCTATGCCGCCTTTCTCCGTGTATGAAACAAGCTCGGGAAATCTCTTCAGAAAACTACATTCATCATCTGTATCAGCATCATCCTCATCGCAATCAACTTTTAAGTCTGGCTCCAGGCCAGATGGAATCAGCTTATTTCCTAGAAAAAAGTCCAACTCAGAATCAACATTGTCAAGGTATTGCTTAAAGTTACAGTAACATATATATCTCCATCTTAATATGTGTATCTTCGAAATGAAATTATTATCTATGAACTGATTGCAAAGGATTCAAGTGTAAATATGGTGTTGATTCTTAATTACCTATTCCATCCCAGATGCCCCCTTTTTTTTCTTTTCTTTTTTTTTTAAATTTAAAAATAATGAAAATAAACTAATTACTAATAAATGAATATATCATTAATTTCTGTCATAAAAATTGAAAATCTAATTTCTCTACAGGTTTGTTGGCATTGAAGGTTCTTCGGCAAGAAGTAGGGGCCTAACCACGTTTTCTGATCTCAGCTCTGGATATCAGCCATCTCTAAGTCCATCACCATCTCCATCGACTTCTGCTCCTCTAGCTGATGAAAATGAGATGTTGCCCGTTGCTTCTGGCAGTAGATATCCTGAACTTGTTGCATCCACCTCAGAGCCCATTAGCGAGGTGCCCCGGTTTCTTGCACCAAGGCTAACTGATAGAGCAGTGTCTCGCGCCAGGCACATCTGCCACTCCTGGTCAGCTGCTGTGGTTGCTGCCGGAGAGCAAAATGATCTTGATTCCACATCTCTCAATCCGCTAGCACCAGGTAAGGCAAGGCTGAACCTGATGTGAACTTTAAAACTTTGTCAAGTGTCTTATCTTTGTTGATATAAAATATTAATTCTGGCCTAAATCCATTTTCAGGAACATCTTCTGGTCTTTCAAGTGCTGGGCAGCGACCATTCTTACCGAGAGGTTTAGTCCATGATTCACGCCTTCCCTCGTGGTGGCAGAGTACTCTTGAGCAGGCGGGTCAGTTGGAGAGACCAGATGTCATCTCACCTGACACTTCCAAAACATTTCCTGCTAATGATGAGGAGTTTGTTGAAGAAGGAGCCAATCTGTTAGCGGCTAACAAAAAGAATTATGCAGTTTTGATTAAAAAAGCTGGTCCATATATTTTAGGTAGGTGTTATGAACAATTATTGCATCACCATACATTTTGGGTAGATGTTCAAGACAATTAAATGATTCCAGGTCTATACATTTTAGTTAGGCCTTACATCATATCTTCTCTGAGACAAACTGCTGTAGTTTATGTTCCACATACTGTTGTTGTTTATGTTCCACATACTGTTGTTGTTTATGTTCATCTTTAACTTGTGTATCCACTGAAATGTGTAGGTCCTAGAATTGGCTCATCTCCTGTGAGAAGTATTGTACAGTGTCTGGCCAGGAAGGAGAAGACCAACAAGTTTTACATCATAAAGGTAATGTGAGAACAATCACTGCTGTCATAAAGATAATGTAAGAAAAATCACTGCTGTCATAAAGTGAAGGTAATGTAAGAAAAATCACTGCTGTCATAAAGTGAAGGTAATGTAAGAAAAATCACTGCTGTCATAAAGTGAAGGTAATGTAAGAAAAATCAGTGCTGTAGGCATTGCCAGACTATCAACAAACAAATAGTAACTCGTTGATACATTTTATAATGGAGACCACAGCATAGAGTAAAACATAAATCACTATCAGATATGGCCTCTGAAATTGAAGAGAAACACCACATACTGACAGACAAGGGGGTGCCAAAGGGCATGGGCTCAGGTGACTGCTTCCGGATGATCGTCAAACTACTCAAACCACACTTTTGCTTCCTCTTAAATGTCGCTCATTGTCTTTTAACATACCGGTAATTTATCTCGTATTAACCCCTAAGCTTTGTACATATTAAAATATTAGAACCAGACAAGCCACTGATCCAAGCACAATGGCCCTACTTGCATTAAATCCATTCACTATTGCACCAGCCTCTCACCACTTCTTTCCCTTGCAGATTCTGACTTTGGCTGACTCTGCTAAAGAGACTATGGATGACAGACAAGGGAAAATGCTGATGTTGACAGAATTCTCCTTGCTGTCACAGCTGAAAGATGCCAAGGGTGTGGTCCACTGCATAGATTTCTTCAAGGTCAGTTAAATTGGTTTTTGTTGCTTTTTTTTTTGTAAAAAATAATTGATTAATGCTATCTTATCAAATTTTTATTGCTGTTCAAGCTTTTGTGTACAGTACATCTGCCTATTTACTTGCTAAAATTATGGTTTTTGTTGGGGAAATGCCCCCTTATTTTAGGTTATATAATGAATGAGACTTTTTTTTGTTGTAATTATTAAGGGCAGGTTAAACCCATAAAATCTTAATTTTTTGGTAAAAAACGTAAATTTAGAAATCCATCTATCTATGAAGTACATTCAATTCCAAACATAACCATCTTTTTTATTTTTTAAAAAAAAAGCAATATAAGTATTTTATTTTATTTTTTAAAGTTGGCAAGGTATAAACAAAATTACCTAATTAATTATGCAAAAAATTTAAATGCGTATAACTTTTCTTCTAATTATCCGATTTTAATAATGTTTTCACCCACATTAAGAAAAGTTAAAGATTGTCACCAAGGAGCTAAGTAGACAAGACTGTCATTTTTTATTTTTAAAATTTTGTGAAGCTGTCAAAAATCTTTGCAGAATCAAATTGAGATGTGGACCTTTTTTTTTTTTTGAAGAGCTGTGTAAAATTCACAACATACTATAATATCATGTTTTTTTTGTTGTTGTTGTTTGGTTGCACAAACTTTTAAACTTCAAATATTTTCTGTTTGGTTCACAGGACAAAGCTTGGGACACTAGAGAGAAATGTGAAATCAATAGATTGTGCCTTGTTGTTGACTGTCTGATGCCTCACGACTATGAGCCTGAATCTCATTTTCTAGTCAATCTTCAGCATCATGTGATACATGAGAAAAAACTTAGTGAGAAGGAAGCCCTAATCATATTCTGGGATATAGCTCATATAGTAGAGCAGCTACATAAGGTAAGAACTTAGTGAGGCAGAGGCCCTTATATTCTGGGATACAGCTCACATAGTACAGCAGCTACACAATATGTTTATAAAGAATTAATCGATCAGTGTATTTTCCATGAAAACTTTCAGCATTAAGCACAGTGACATTTTCTGGAACTTTTATTTTGAGGATGTTAGATATTGAATTTTTGTTTTATTGTTGTTGTTTTGTTTTTTTTATGGATCTCCTTGACGAGATTGGTACCAGTAAGTTTTTTCTTAAGTTACTTTTCTAAACAATAAAAGAAATGGAGATAAGTCTTCAGAAGTAGATAGTGGATAATAAATGAAGGACTGCATTCAAGCTGTGTGAAGGAAATAGAGGAACAAGGTATGTTGAGGCTTGAAATGAAAGGTCTTGTCTGCTGAGGAAGGCTCTCAGCTAAGACAGTCTCCTTTAATTGTCCTTAACTGTACTTGCCAGGACATTCTATTACCAATACTATTTCAGTAATTTAATATGTTAAATGTGATTTATTAAACAGAAAAATATTGTTCACCGTGATCTTAAACTGGGAAACATGATAGTCGACAGACGTTCGTTGAGGGTCACCATCACCAATTTTTGCCTGGGAAAACATCTTAGCTCAGAAAAGGACAAACTTAGAGATCAGCGTGGCAGCCCAGCCTACATCAGCCCAGATGTTCTGAGTGGTAAGTTAATGCTTTGTGAGCTGTTCTTTAAACTCATTTTTCCTTTTCCAGCAAAGTTTTGAGATAGTATCCTCGATTGCTTGGTGAACTCAATTTCATTTTAAACGCACTGGTGAAATATTTAAAAAATACCTTTTTAAGCTTTCAAATAATGATTAGACATCATCATATTCATGGAACATTTCTTGTGCTTTGTTCCATTAAAATCCTTTGACCTAACGCTTAATGAGTTAATTAATTTTAGTACCAGTACAGTATTCTTAAATAATTTAGTAATTGATCAAAATTGTAGCTAACTTTATGGTCAATAAAATTTCACTGAAGATATTGTTAAAATGTGTTGTTTGATTTGAAATAATGTCTGGCTGAGTAGAAGAAAGTAAAAAGAGATTTGAATTTATGTGATGAGAAGTTATGCTTAAAATTTTGTTATTTGCGCAATTCACCTTTCTCTATGAGTTTTTGCACATGTGAAAATTAGATTATTTGTACAAATAACAGCTTTTGTTGTTATGTATTTTGAGGAAACTTTCCATGAACCAACTTTAGATTAGGATATATGACCATGTTAAATTTGGATATAATTTATTGCTAGCTTTTCTTGTTTTAAAAGGGCTGATTAAAATACATAACTATACTGAGCTTCATATACTGTAATATTTATCTGGTGTTAGTCAATATTTTAAGCAGTAAGTATCAATAATATGGATATATTGGAGCTTTAAAAGTATATTGCCAAGGAATATTTTCTTACTTAACTATATATCTGGTGACTCGATTCTTACTTAGTCATATATTATTATTATTAGTAGTTTAGTAGTAGTAGTGGTTTTATATAGCATGGTACCCCAGCCTAGGGCTGGGCTCACAACGCTTTACATACAATTCAACAAACATAATCATGAACTTAAAAATTAACATACATTTATTAAATAAAACAAAAACAAATGTATATTCACTCCACACATTTAAGAACTATTTACATGTCAGCCATGGACGGCACCCAGCAGCATTGTTTATTGATGATTGGGGGGTGGGGGGGGGTGGGGGGGGGACTCAGTCAGGATAGTGACTTGATTCTTACTTAGCAATATATCTGGTGAATTGACAGACTGATTTCACTAGGCTTATGATGTTGATAAACATTTCTTATAGTATCAGATAACAAATGTATCAATCAAATTAGTGTCATTTCAGAATAAAAGATGTAGCATTGTGAAAAATATTTAAAAAATAGCATCTAGGCAAATTTTAAGTTGACTGTAGCTCAATAATCATACATATTTTTGTTGTTTAATTGTCAGGTAAACCTTACTATGGCAAACCTAGTGACATGTGGGCACTCGGTGTCGTACTCTTCACTATGCTGTACGGGCAGTTCCCTTTCTACGACTGCATGCCACAAGAACTCTTCCGAAAAATTAAATCAGCTGAATTTACTATTCCAAAGTAAGCTTGACATTTTACAATGTTCAAATGTCAAGTAAATGTTCATTGATGATTTTTGTTTGATTGTTCATGAACCTTAAACATACTGAGTTATGCCATACATTGGAGCCTATTTCCATTTATGTTAAAGTTCTCAAAACTTTAATTTATCCACCCATATCTTAAGTCCAACATTCTGTTCAAACTGGAAAAAAAGTCTTCCCAAACATGTTGACTTAAGTCAAGACTTAAATTGTTTTATACAAATGAAGAATTTTTAGTAATTTTTGTTCTTGATTTTGTTTGCCTTGAAAATTGTAAATCATACCTTGTAAAAACTGTAACTTGAGTTCCTGACTGCAGTTACATTTTTTTTTTAGTGATGGAAGAGTCACAGAGGACACCAAACAGTTGATTCATCAGCTGCTGACATTGGATGCCCAGACTCGAATGACAGCGGGACAAGTTGTAGATGCCTTGGAGACTATCATAGGGAAATGGTGATTATTTTTTAACTAGCTTAAAAATTTATTTTTTAACTCGCTTAAAAATTTATTTATTCTTCTTTAATTATTTTCTTCCTTGGTGTATGTTTTTATTTAAAATAGTTCCTTTTCATGTGTTTTTTAAACTACATTTTTTTTTTAAATCACTCATTCAAGTACAGCGATGATGTCAGAAAGCTCTGAACAATTTGTTTTATTAGCAAAAACTGATTTTTTAAAAGTAATGAAGACCAAATTTTATTAAATTAAGTTTGTGGGGTTTTATTTATTGTCATCTTGTTGGATGCCAAAATTGAAAGTGTGTGCTCAGCCTTGGTGGGCAAGTGTGACCAATATCATTTAATGTTGTGCTCAGCCTTGGTCTGCAAGTGTGAACAATATCTTTTTATGTTGTGCTCAGCCTTGGTGGGCAAGTGTGAACAATATCATTTAATGTTGTGCTCAGCCTTGGTCAGCAAGTGTGAACAATATCATTTTATGTTGTGCTCAGCCTTGGTGGGCAAGTGTGAACAATATCATTTAATGTTGTGCTCAGCCTTGGACACATGGGATAAATATTTTATGCTGTGCTCAGCCTTTGGCACATAACCATTTACATAATTCTTCAGTAGATGTCATACCTATAAAAAGATTGCAGGCCAATGACGTAAATAACTTTAAAATCATTTGTGTTAAAGAGTAATTTTCTCGGCTTAAAAAGCAAATCACATTCTGTCTTTCAAAACGTAAAACAAATATTTTCATTTACTTTTTAAAAATATTTTTTTTCAGGAAAGCCATGATGGCCTGTGAGACAGATCAGGTGGTCCCAGACATTCCTTTAGGGGTTGACATGGAGTATGAGCAGACTGATAATGAAAAGACAACCCAGACTGACCCAGGTGCCGGTGCACCAGAGTGCTCTGTCCCTTCGGGCCAACAGATGCAAGCAGCTCTGGCCTCTGGGCCACCGAGCAACAGACAGCTGATGATAAAACTTGCATCAGATGCCAGGCCAATGTCACCAGCTGAGATAAGGGCCATAAGACATCTCTTTACTTCCAGGACTTAAGTTTACCAGGAGAAAAAATATCTTTTTTTTTTTTTTTAATGAAGAAGATAACACAAAATTAAATAACTTTGAATGGATGATGTAGACTATGTAAATTAATGTACATTCATATTATACCACTCTGTAGTTGTGTTGTTAAGGAGAAATTATTAAGGATAAATAAATATCTTTAAGCTTTTATAAATTATAATATTTATTTTTTTAAATAATTCACTTGGTATGGCAGAACCATGAAAATATTATGAATGGATACGTTGGTTTTGTCTTATGAGGGAAGGCATTATGAATTTTATAGTTGTCTATATGTAAGAGTTTCTTTGCACTTCTGAGCGCCAGTATTGAGCACCTTACCTCCAGAGTGATTGTATTGTATGAAAATAGTTTTGTCTTTAAATTAAAATTAAGAGCATATTTATTTAAAACTGGCTTGAAAATATTAACATCACAAGACATTGTATGTTCATTTTCACCCATCACAATTGAGAGAAAATAGGACATGAACTGCTCCAACCTCTGCTATTATCTCCTCCCACACCCTACACTCTATTCCAAACCCATTCCTCGCCATCCTCTCACCCTTTTCCTCCCACTCATATCCACTCTTGTATCATATCTTCTTCCATTTCCCCTACACTATACCCCCATACTCAAACTGTGTAATCTTGTATTTTCCCTTACTCTATCAATCCTCCTATTCTTGTAAAAAAAAAAAATTGTTATAGCTTACCTTTTTTTAATGCTTTCAAAAATGAGGCCTCTGACTGCCCCTCTACAAACTCTACCTTGGGTCTGACATTTTCTTGAACAAAATTGTAAAAAAAAAAAATGTAATTAATCAAACAATTATTTGTGTGATATCAAAAGTTTTGTTTGCTGTACAAGAATGGCATTGATGGTTGTGTATATTTGTATCATGTTTATTGTTGTACATTATTTTATGATAACAGAGCTGCATGTTAACTTATTTTTATAATTGCATGACACTTTTTTTTTTACCACATATTTTTGGGACCTGACCTTAAAAATTCTACTTTAATTCATAGGGCATCAAATGCTAAAAATTATTGTTTTAAATTATTCCTAACAAATAGGTTTAACATAAATATTGAATTCAGATTTGTATTTCTACACTTCAAATGTCCCCATGCGCCAATGTATTCGATGAGAACTACTGTTAACAACTTCACATCTTGTCAAATTTGCTAAACCTCGTCTCCCTAACCACAACGCTAACCCTCACCCATCTCCCTAACCCAAGCACATCTCCCTAACCACAACCCTATATCTAACTCAAGTTATTTTGGTACAAGAAATGAAACCGCTGTCGATCTGGAAATATTTGTCTGTCTCGTCAGGCTCATCATTCCAAATTGAAAATTTCTCTACATTTTGAGGCAGGTATTTTGCACTATCCCCCTTCATGCCCATGACACTTTTTGTAAGCATGTATGAACTGTTTTTCATACAATGTTCCCGTAAAACATAATTGTTTGACGATGGAATTGATCAAGTTCAAATATAATAATCTAAAAGACCCAGACTTTGTTAAACTTTGAAAGCAATGCTGAATAAACATGTGTACAGCATGGTAAGATTCAGCAAAAGTTAATGTTCCTAACATCACTGTTCCCCGAATGGTGGTCTGTGGATCGCTCCACAAGTCTTGCGTTGCCGGTCCACACAACTTGAATATTTATTCTCAAATAAAAAATAAATTTAATGAATAAATCTGCCACCCGTCTCTGGTGTGATCACGGAACTTGTCCTACAGTCAGCTAAATAAAGGTTTGGGAAAAGCTGCCTTAAATGATACAATAAAATGAAACTAAGTTTTATCTTACAATATATACAGATTTTTATTTTCAGTTCTAATAACTGTTGGTGACAGTTTGAATGAGGTAATTTTATGGCAAGTTTGTGGATTAAATATGTGGTTTAGTTATTGTGAATCATGTCCGTCACCACACTACAAATGCTACAATGTTGTTGGTGCTCCATTAAAAAAATGTTTAAATAATGAATTGCCTTAAGTTGGTGCCATATTTGTTTGTTCTGTATTCTGTCAAACTCGTAGTATGGGGCGCTTTCGGTGGTTAGGCCACGTAAAAAGATGGGAGAGTGGGCTAGACATTTTCACATAAGGACTGGATGTATGTAAACAAGAAACGGGAGACTTGGCGAACGGGGGAGTATTGATGATAACTGTTCTGGCTGGTAAAGAATAGAGACTGTGTGAATCCAACAAGCAAAATATGTGCAAAACTAATACCTCGTAGAGAATTAGTGGGGAAGACCAGAGTAAGCCTAAACCACCAGTCTAGGTTCTACTGCAATAAGTGCAATGGAGACTGTCACCCCAGATCAGCCTCTTACATGACAATATTCAGAAGCTACGCCATCGTCTTATGAAGAAAGAGGGATGCAACAATTTTGTCAATACTTTAAGACCTATTGTTTGCTGCCTCTGGGGTAGTAGAGTTATGTCTCTGTCACGTTCAAAAACAGACCCGACATCACACAATAACAAAATCTTAGAAGGAATCATTCAGACCTAATTATTCCAAACAAATAATCAGTTCAAACAACATACCTTCATACAAATTGATTTTGGACAAATTGGTTTCGCAACTAATTTCTGGTAACCCATTTGATCTGCCTTTACTTTCTAACTGGATCGTATTCAGAAACCTTTCTAAGTTGCGCCTTGATCATGATTTATGCACTCAATGTTACATATAAATCTAAAAACTTTTACTTTTAGGATTGAGGGGAAGCTATTGGTGATATTCACATTTAATGTTTAAATTATCACCGAAGCTATTGGTGATATTCACATTTAATGTTTAAATATCACCCTGTCCTAATTTACTTAAAAATTAAGGTATTCGTAAAAGGTTCTAAATTAATTTTAAACAATTTTTTTTTTTAATTTAAAGAAGAAACAAAAAAAACTAGTTTAATGTACTTTCCCTTAAAACAAATAACTTTATAAAAAACTTGGTATGCTTATGGGTGGCATTGAATCTGAATTTAATGCAAGTGATCTATATACAAGACTCTTTGGTAGCAACCTGTTCTGGTGGCAGCCTGATACTGCTGTGGTATTACTGGAATAGTACATAGAATTTTTTTTCTTCTAAATATATGATCATTGGTGAAATCAACTTCTAGAGAGCTCTGATAAATTTTAGGGGGGGGGGGGGGGGTTTTTTTGTTTTTCTGATTTTGGTGTCCACCACTTGTTAGGTTGCCACCCACACCCAGGGGCCTAGCTAGAGTGTTTGGCACCCTTGGTCAAGATTCATTTTAAGCGTCTCCCTTCCTTTTTTCAACTCTCAAACCCATTATTTTCATCAATAAAATAATATCAAAGCACATGTTGGCGCCCTTAACTAGTCTGGCGCCTAGGGACATCTGTCACCCCTTGCTGCGGCTCTGCCCACACCCCTCTAGTCCCGCTACTGAATAGGTGTAAAAGTAAATCAAAGAGTTTAATTTTAATAAAATTATTTGTATTTTCCTGAAACACTTTCTAATATTAAGAAAGTACCTGTAGCGGTATATAATACTCAATGGTATTAATAATACCATTGTTTGTATTTTCTTTATTGTCATCTTTTGGGACATCTTAGAAAATTAATGTCTGGTTTCAAAAAGATTGTATTTAAGATAGCCACAAAACTTGACTTAAATATGAGGACTGTTCCCATCATAAAAAACAAAATGTGTTATTAAATTATGGGGAAACAATTTTTAGACAAAAAAATCCAATAAAATTTGAATAATGGGATGAAAAGAAAATATTTTATACGTCTAATTAACGGCGGCAAGTTTATATACCAAAAACAACCATTTCAAGCTCAACCTAAACTAGAAATAATTGTATTAACAGTACAATTAATATACATAGCAACATTTACAGGATGGCGTAATTTTAATACAGAAATCTCTATTCAGACATTTTTTTAAAAACAGAAGAAAAAAATGATTTTATTATTACATTGTATGAGTTATGTCACTATTGTTAAGGAATAACTATATTATGGTTATAAATAACATAAAAAGTTCCCTTCTAAACTAAGGTATCTTTTTAAAAAGCTTGTGGGCAAATACTACTTTGAATTGAAAGGTAGAAATGCTGAAGAACTTGTATATATATTTTTAGTGCTTCTATTTTTGTGAATACAATGTACCAGTACTGAATTTTACATAGAATCTGCAGTACACATTTCCAAAGTGTGGGCGTTTTGGTGTGTAACTAAATGTATCTATAGAGAAAAGAAATTGCAGAACACAATTCCCCAAGTTATATTTTGGGTTTAAGTGCAGTGTATATTTCCTTTGGTATCGTTTTAAACTTGACTCGTGTTTGAAATCTGCAGTAAGTGTACATTTAGGGTTAACCTGCAGTGTGCACTCTTTCATGTTTAGTTTTGATTTTATAGAAAAATATATTAAAATATAAGTGGCATTTGTGGGTTTTCTCATTAGTGTGAACAGTAAGACGCCTGAAAAGTTTTGCCTGGGTTGTAAAAACTTCAGAACAAAGATCACACTTGAACTTTAAAATGTGTTTTCTCAGTGTGCACTCTTTGGTGAGTTTCTCCAATGAGCACTCTTTGGCCTAGCTAATAATTCTTTTTTTAAATTTGCAGACCACAAGTCACATTTATAGGGTTTCTCTTGTATGTGTACTCTTTGCGTCTTTCCAAATTTGACTTCTGTGAAAAACATGCAGAGCACAAGTCACATTTGAATGGTTTCACTCCATTGCAGTGTGAACTCTTTGGTGTATAATTTAAATTAAGACTTGCTTTTTAATATTTGTGTTTAGAAAATGTCTATTCTTTTCTTGTACCATTTTTAAAAATAAAATGGGTGGTTTAAAAATAAAATGGGTGGTTTCTTTTCTGAAATCCTTTACACGTGACTTTTTGGACACATGCAACTCACTATAAAGGAAAGCATCACCCGGGGGGGGGGGGCGTGGCAGTGAAACCTGATAATGGCGCCACCCATGTCTCATCAATAAATGATATAATTATGATATTGTTAGAATCCTACCGTCTTCGTGAGACGATGGATTAGCTTCTGTATTATTTACACTATCTTCAAAAGGCTTATGAGACCGATCCTGGAGTGACCGTCTTTGCTACATTGCTCGCAAAGGAACCTTAACTTTTGGGTTATTCCTTGGGATCTCCTAAGTTATTGTTCTTTCGTTACAAAGGCTTCGTTTCACCAATCCTCTGCCTGTTGGATTCCCATATTTATTGCTATTTACCTAGGCGGAAATTTGATCAGTGATATGAATTTTTATGCTGGTGCCCATCCTGTTTTTCCCCCACACATATAAAACTATGGATACTTGGCGACTTCTGCGTCCACCAGATATTGGTACCAAACTTATACGGTCCACTTCCTACGGCCTCGCATAAAGATGTCAGCTTAGTCCTCCACTAGAACGGTTTGTTCAGTTAACTTGATTAGTTTGAAAGCCGTAGTTGAAATTACTGAGTTGACTTTAATTGGAGTACACAGTACCTCGCAGTTTTTCTAGAAGTTTTGCCAGAGAGTGTTTCAATGTTGATGGAATATCGTCGGAGATGTGTCCCATATGCCAAAAAAATTAGTAATACAATCTTTAAAAATACTTACAAAAACTATACACATACACATACAATAAGACGCACGTTAAGAAAAATAGACACATACTAATAAAATTTGTCTGGCATCAAACCAAACAAAAAAGACAGCCATTTTTATATACGTTTAATATGAAATGGAATGACAGTTTTGAAATCTTCAACAAATGTTTTTCGTTAAAAACACTTATTCGCATCCCTGCTCAAGTAAGTTGGTCACAAAATTGCTGCAGAAGTACATCTTGGGTGCAAATTTTTCACACAAATGTTTGGCAACTTTTTGGACTGTTTCTGAGCATTTCTCTGAAATGTAGCAGTAGTAAACAAAATTACTAATCACGAGTTCGAAATGGCGATATAGCATCTAATTTATTTTTTGAAATTTTAAACCTTCTTGGAAGTGTCCATCTTGGCTTTTGCTCACATTCTAACTATAATAGTCTAATACCGAAACAATAGCCCAGGACTGATGCTATACCCTAATACCGATAAATATGCCTCGGTAAGTATTTAATAACTAAGTGAGTCTGCCGAGAAAAGTACAAGTTCCACCCCGGGGGTGGGGGGTATTTGATGTTGTTGGGTGTTTGTTTGTTTGTTGTTGTTTTTTTGTTTGTTGTTTTTTTTGGAAGGGTCTATCAAGATTTCATCAAATTTGGATAGATTGAAATGTCTCAAAAGACGTAGATGTATGTCACTGTATGTCAACTATTACCTCTCACAACTATAAAGAATCTGAAAAGAATAACTTGCGAAGAAGTTGAAACAAACACGTAGATACTTTTCATGGAAAGTTAAGTGAACTATTTTTAAAAGAATTATCAAAGGTTAACAGCGACATAAAATTGTGTTCGCAGCGTACCCTCGGGCAAAGTGTCGGACGAGTCAATTGAACGGCACCGAGTTACTTGGGGGGAGCTTTTATCTGAATACTGGGAAGCTTGTGTTGCCCCCAGCAGTATCAGTAATAGCAGCAGTGGCCTCATTACTCCAGCTGTGAACTGATGGGGGAAAATATATCTGAATGAAATGGGAATTAATAATTCAAGTTAAAGATTTTATTGTTCTTTAAAAGAATGAAAATTAAGAGAAGTCCCGCAGCTAATATAGATTGAGGAATAAATGAACAAAATTGAAACAAAATAATTTTTCTATTGTCAATCTGTACATCTAACAACATGAGATTGGTTCGAACTCAGTGACCGACATGAAATTAAAACTTTTTTGCCAGATGGGGCCCAAGGTTTTGACTGCCTATAGGACACAGGAGGGTTTAATCCATTAAAATAATATCTAAATTACACTTCCCTGTGTGCCTGCGTGCGGACACTCAATCTAATGCTTACCTAGAACACTCAGTCTCATGATTAATTAGAACATTCAATCTGATGATTATCTAGAACACTCAGTCTCATGATTACCTAAAACATTCAATCTAATGCTTACCTAGAACACTCAGCCTAATAGTTACCTAGAACACTCAATCTGATGATTAACTAGAACACTCACTCTGATGCTTACCTGGAACATTCAATCTCATGCTTACCTAGAACACTCGAGCTGATGATGATTACCTAGAACACCCAGTCGCATGATTACCTAGAACACTCGTTCTGATCTTACACAGAACACTCAATATGATGATTACCTAGAAAATTCAATCTGATGCTTAGAGTCTGAGGCTTACCTATCTTGGCTGTTGAGAGTGACAACTCTTATGATTGCAGGCTGGTGGTGTTGATAAAAAAAAAGACTTATTTTGATTGCGATTCGAGAGGTGGATGTTCAAACTAATCACAAGCTCTACATTTTATAATGTCCACATGGCCACCTGCATAGCACATTAAATCCCATGATCGGCATTAAACATAGTTTATTTGTTTTTTTTCTGATGTCTTGCATGAGGAATTCACGCAACTCCACAATGGGTATGACATAAAAACTGTACATAATCTTTGCAGTGGCGTAGGAAATGGTGGGTGGGGGAGACGGCAAAAATGTTGACCCGCCCTAGGTGGCACTTACCCTAGCTACGCTAATCAAGTGTAATTGTTTGTTGGGATTGAGGACAGCTTCCGTTTAATCGCAAAGCTTGCATAAAGCATGGGAGAGACTTGTACACTTTTAAGCTAGATAAGAAACAGTTTGTATCGCACATAGAATTTCCGAAATATAAGCTACGTAACAGTATAAAAAGATTTATGGATGTTAAAGTCTCTTTTCGAAACATCTTCAACCGGGGGTGGGGGGGGGGTGTGTTAATGCGACATTACACAAATATATTTTTAGATACGCAGTGACGCGAGCAGGTGCGTAGTCCGTTGCAAAACATTACACCCGGGGTGTACTCCCGAAAGTCCGCCCCTAACACAAACACACATATTAATAAAATTGTATGAATTAACCCTAAAAGTGTTGCCCGGTGTGGTCACCCCCTACCCCCCCCCCTGGTTGCGCCATTGAAAATAGTCACTGACGTAGACATGTAGTCGGTGGTGGACTGGAGTGTCTAAGCCGTACAGTGGTGGACTGTGTTGTTCAGGTGTGGTGGTGTACCTGGTAGGGGGTGGCACTTATTGGGAATCTTATATTATAAGGTGTAGTACTTGAATGCATGTTTTGTCAAGTCACTTTAGTATTATGGAACGGACGTTTCTGCAGTGACGCTGCCATCTGTAGGCGGGTTATAGCTATATCCATATATTGGACATACACTGAATTCAGGGCCGTGCGAAAATACTATTTCTTAAAGCATCTACTGATTTATTTTTAAAACTTTTGGCTGATATTCGGAAAACCGAAATTTGACATAACTATTTTTCAAAAACTTTCCCATAAAAGACATTGATATGCTCATACACGATATTGAATACAATGTAATCAATATTTTCTATAATTATTTTCAAGCACGTGTTCTTTCGTACGTCATGAGCTATGACTATGAGGCAAACACCACCTGCTTAGATCACACGCGCATTGTCTTGCTGTCTGGTGTTGCCTTTCATGAACACTGTGAGCATGTAAGAACGCCAAACAGACAACATCAAACGCTGAATGTTGATAACAGTAGTAAATAAGGTGCATCTGGTCTTCCTGTGAAACAATGCTATAAAAAAAATCACGAAATTGGTCTGGGTGAGACGTTATTGAAATAAAATTCTGATTGGAAATGTACGTTTGATTTAAAAAGCAGGTACAGCCAAGTGCTCAGCAAACAATGGGAGCTTCTAATACTTTGTGAGTCTTGGTGAGGCGCGGCAGTGGAGTCGACAGGATTTTTATTATTGTTTGGTTGACGACCCAACCCATCCGCCGAATAAGACGAGTGGGGGTGGGCTTATGATTTAAGCCCCTTGGATTTATTAGTATTATTAGTGGTCTTATGTAGCGCCGTACCCCATGATTTATTCCAAGGTATTATTGTATTACTATTGTATTATTATATCATATTATTATATTACTATTATATTATTGTATTACTATTATTATATTATTGTATTACTATTTTATTGTATTACCATTGTATTAATATAATTTATTGTATTACTATTATACTACTAACATATAGTATTAATGTGATTATATTACTATTGTATTATTGCATTACTATACTATTATTTATTGCTGGCATCCGTCCGTCACAATGTGTCGATTGGTGTGGACTTGGCAGGATGAAAATCCACAAGGCCTGGGATTATTCTTCTAGGATTTTAAGCTGGTTCCCAACACCAAATCGCCTCTCTCTACGCCGCTGGATAACCAAAGGGAACATCATGTGGATGATACAGCTTGGCACCAGTGGCGTCGCAGGAGTGGTCAGAATGTCTCATTGTACCAATGTTATCCGCCTACGGGAATCCATATCCGGGTTTGAATTCAGAGTTTCCTTCTCTTAGATGAGTTGCCATCCAAGGTTAACCCATCCCATCCACCTGCGGTGCTGGTGATGTTTTTGCTTGATTGGTCTTTGAACTCCATACCATCAACTTGAGATTGGCTCAGTTAAGACCACTCAGCCGTCTTTTATATCATTTTTATTAATATTATATTATTGTACTATCATATTAAATTAGTATTATATTGCTATCATATTAAATTAGTGTTATATTACTACCATATTATATTAGTATTATATTACTATCATATTATATTAGTATTATATTACTATCATATTATATTACTATTATTAATATTATATTACTATCATATTATTACCATTATATTAGCATCACTAATACCAATTCCCAAAGTCTTGTAGACAAGTGTTGAACAAGAACGCCTACTTGGATACTGGTAGGATTGCCAAATTCAGAGCACTTCCTAGAATATTCAGTTGTTATGTCGTGTTGCAGACAGTGAGTGTGTCCAAATTATTTCCAGCTGTCCCTCTTCAAACCTGGCAAATGATGACATAACTTGATTTCTGCTTTTTCCATATCAACATTGAAATTATATTGCCTGTCTGGCTTTTAAATTGTACTTTTAACCACTTTCTGTTCTTCTGAGCTTTGTTTTTGTTATGGACTAGTGCCCATTCTTATTCTTTTCTTTCATGTTCTGGTATAGGTAGGATAGATATATATATATATATTGTCTAGGTAAATCTCTACCAAGACTTATACAGCAAACTAACCAAGTTTTCTTTTTATAATTACATTTATTTACAAGTGGATAGTATACAATCAGTGATTAATCTGTAGCATCAAGCTTCGACAACTCCCCTTTACCAGCTATTGCAGCCATCACCAGTTCGGACACCCTCCTGCACTAAACAGCGGTTCCTCTCTCCAAATTCTGTTTAATCTCTGCTGTGTATTTGCCGTAGAATCTCTCCAACTTTTGGTTGAATTTCATGTTGCGTTCATTGATGTAGTCGATGTCAGCTTCTTCATCAAATGTTCGACGACGACTGTACTTGGACCTCTTATCAATCCTGAAAAATAAAGTAGATCCATTTTATTGGCTGATATCGACTGCAACTTCATGGTAATGAAAAACAGCCAGATCCATTACCATTTAACATTGTGACCAGCTGAACAGTTCTGACATTTTAGTTTCTCTCTCACTTAATTACATATCTAAAACTTTGATGGAACGTGATTAGCTTTACAACCAAGTACTTATAAGATGTAGTATAGTGTCTAGATTAAGAAAACTCTAGCATGCTAATGCAGGTATACTAAATCCACATCGATCTTCTTAGACAGATTGTCTGCAACAATGGATATGGTAACAAAATAAATTATTAGACTTAAATTAAGATAAACGAATAATTGTAACTTTAAAAAAAATCTTTTACTGAATTAATAAGAAACACAGTAGAATGTTAATTATGCATATTAACTGAGACCAAGGGTGCTTCGGATAACCGTTTTTTGCAGTCAAACATTCCCATGGAAAGATTTTGTTAAATAACTCAGCAGATAGAATACAACATGATGCATCCTTTTTGAAAAGAGGCTCTAACCAAAAATAGATCACTGACGCTTAGAATAAAATCTGTAGTCCATTTTTCTTTGCAGGCGTGTATTCTACAATTTATATCAACAAGTTTGCATTACCCCAGTCTGGTCACTGGATCTACAGTATGTAGCTAGATTTCAGGTGGACTGAGCTGCCAGTTTTGGAACCATTTTATGATGTTTGAAAGAATATGCTCAACGTTATGCCCATTTGCATACAATAATAATCGTAAAATAAGGAAATGGGCAGTTTGGATAACTGTGATTCAATAATTGGTTGTACTGTAAATAGAATGTTTTCTTTTGATTTTGAGCAATATTTTCAACTTCAGGTTTTGTAATATTAATCAGTTAAATATTGAAACTGGGTTCTGTGACTTCAACACTTACTGTTTCTCCAAATCCACAACCATTTTGTCGATAGCTTCCTCAGAGTCCTTGCGCTGGTGCAGGCCAAGGGTGTCAGCCGAGGCATAGAAATCCTCACCTCTAGAGAAATAGACAAGGGAAACGATAAACAGTAATTGTTTGAAATTTGTTTGTAAACTCTGCGAAATATTTAATGACTTGAGCTGGTGTTTAGCTCAGAGACAAAAAAAATAAAACTTCTAGTATTTTTTTCTAAGTCATTAATGCTAGTAAAATGATTCTTAAGATAGTTTTATAGATTTATAAAGTGATATTCTAAATAGTACAATTACAATTGATGAAATTCTTTGCATTGTGTTCAGAAAAAAATTATTTCCATTGGTTTTTTTGGTTCCAAATGTCAAAAACATAGCAGTGCTGCCAAATGGTGAGATTTTGTGCTTAATAAGCTTATCAGGTTTGCCATTATAAATTCGCTTACAGTTTTTCATGTTCTCGTTCATATTCTGTGCCATCTGTTTTTATCTGTTTGGTCAGGCGCTGATACTGACGAAACGTGGCTTGTTCATAATCTTGACAAAGAAACAAATATATCTTTAAAAACTAAAGTTAAATGAAGGAATCAAAATCTCTTAAAACATAAATTAAATTTTGTCTTTAATACAATAAATCTTTAACACTTTTAAATTTTTAAAATTCAAAACTGGTTACCAATATAAAAAAAAATTAATTTTTATCCTAAGACTTTTACCTAGAATTGAAAGAGTTCCTAATCAATGATTAGTAGCTTCCAATTAAAACTGTAATTCAACAAACAGTATAATTTACCCACAATACTCTCATTGAAGGGCTTCAATTATCTATTCAAATTTAGATAGTTTCTAGTTTATTTTTTTACTTCACCTGCAAAACCTGTGTCTGGATTTTTCTTTTTCTTTTTCCGTTCCCATTTTTCAGCTTCATCTGCACCAACTTCTAAAAGTTTGACACGGTCAAAGTCTTCCCCTTTGGAAACACATTGCTGTGGAGAACACAAGCAATTAAGGGGCGATCCATGTATTTTTAAGTCAGATTTTATACCCCGCTGTTGCACTCATACATTTTTGGACACCCCTCTTGCGTATGTACAATGAGCTCTCACCCCATCCTCCAAAAAAAAAGTTTAAAAATTAAAATATTATGACGAACAAGACAATTAAATGAACTCAAGTAACAATAAACCAGTGTTTTCTAACCTGTTGCATACTCCCCAAAAATAGGAAATTTTAAATTATAGGACATAGTATCTGAGAAATTGGCATAGAAAGGGGGTGGAGGAGGTAGTCCACCCTGGGACGGACATATTTTTACCTCATATGGAGGGTTATATCTAGCCAAATACAGGGCTTTTTTACAAGGACGGGGATGTTGGCCAACACTGGTCAACACATATATAGCATTACAAATATATTCAACTATTGTAAATTTTATCCACAATGGTGAATATTAATACCTAAAATTCAATCTTTATATAATCTTTAAATACGGCAGCATGGGGGACATATTTAAAAAAAATGTTACCATTAATTGGAGGGAAGAAGGGACGTTTGGTGTGCGGAAGAAGTTAGGGGGACGAAGCTAAATATTAATGTTGTAATAACTAGAGAATTACTTGTGAAAACACAATGCAACAGTGTTACGATAGTTACGAAACACTGTGGTGATATTTGTACAGCTTTTTTTGAAAATAATTAGAAATCAAGGATTTCACCGATTTTTAGTTTACTTGACAGTTGGCTTTGTGACTTTATTATTTATTTTAAATATAAGAGACTCAGAATATCAGAATAATTATTGTACATACTTTCTTCCATGTCCCAGCCAGCATCTCATGTATCCGACGGCATGAGCAAAATCTCCAAAATCAACCCCACCCCCACCACCTTTTTTTTAGTACATGGATGGCCTGTAACTTAATTCTATGATTCAAAATTTTTATTACATTGATACTCATTAGGCCTTTACTCATCAGGCCTAATATTTTAAATAATAGAACTCAACCTTTTTCTTCTCTGCTTGTTCTTGCTCCCACTCCAGTCTTTTTCGTTTAGCGTCAAAATTCTGTGGTCTCTTTTTCCTTTCATCTTCAGCCACAACTTCTGCATGATTCATTTTTCTTGCTTCGTTCTAAAAGGATTATTTACATTTTTTTAAAGGGTTAAAAAGACAACATGAATGTCATACATTTTAAAAACAAATTTCAGGATTTTTTCTGAAACAATCAATACTACTAAAAAATGGAACCAATAATTATTTGTTTTTATGCTATAATTTTTTTATAACCCTCTTGAGACTGAGATTTTTTAGGCTATTGCTGCCAAGAAGAAGGAGCCTTTTCACAAGCCCTGCACTTACTTTGCAAAATGAAATGATTTCTTCACAAATATAAAACTTTCTATATTCTTGGATATTGAATGAACTAATATGATCTTTACGAATCAAACCTAAATCTCAAAATTTATGCAAATAAGATATCCTGATTTGTATAATTTATTCATGCCATTTTATTTTGGTACTTGCAGAATTTTGTTAAATTTTGTGATTGTTGAAGCCTTAATAAGTCCTGACAAACATTTGAGTGAGAGTCAATGTGGGAAAAACTGCATAAAATATTTCCCTGTGGCTGCTTATGCATTTTGGCATATTATAAGGTCACATATTTTTTAAGCATTTAAATGGGTCACTAGGTAAATAAAATTGATATAACATGACAAAACAGCATAACCTATCAATGGAAACCACCATTAAAATGGTGAGATGAGCAAGGAATGGGAGAAGCAATCTGATTAGCTCGTTTGAAGACTAGCCAAGCAATCTTGAGGCATTTATTATTCTGCAAATAGATCAGCCTTTTGTCTTTTTATCCATTCGACTCTGGGTCGATAGATCAGCCCAATTATCTAAGGGTTGAGGCAAAAATGTTCAAAAATGAATAAAATAAAGTAAATTAAAACTGATAAGTAAATCAGACTTGCCATCCTCATTTCTAATTCTCGAAAACGATTCATTTTGGCAAATTTACCAGAGGCTTTTACTCCACTACTGCATGAACTTGATGCTTCCTATAAGAATAACAAAAAAGAAACTTTAAACTTGAAGCAAATATACAGTGAAACTTTCATGATGAATGCATAATTAAACAATTTCAGTTGCTTAATTTAAGAAAATAGGCAGTGTCCACACATCTGGCGGCCGGACAAATAGTGCGGGAGATATTCTTCCGGTGGGTATGTCATGTGACCACCGGACGACTAGTATGTGCTATTATTCTGACAGACATGTCATGTGACACGAGGACGCCGGAAAAATAGTGCATTGCATATGATATTCCAATATTGTGTATATATATTAGTCAGACAATCCCTAGATAATAAATATATACTGAATATGGTAACATTTTCAAATGCTCTGAGATACATAAAGTGTATCATAAGCTTTTGACATTGAATTAAAGATATTATAAGACTAGTTGCCTGTATAAGTATATACTAGTCTATTGGAATCCGACTCTTCAAAATAAAAAAAAGTCTGTTATCTTAGTTTAATTCAGAGGCATAGCTAGAGTGTTTGGCGCCCCGAGACAAGATTCTTTTTAAAGCCCCCACCCCTTCTCTGTTTTCAACTCTGAAACCCATTATTTTCATCAATAAAATAATAACAAAGCAATTTTGGCGTTCCTGACTAGTCTGGCACCCAGAGACAACTGCCCACGCCCTTAGCTAAGCCTATGGTTTAAATGTCTTATAAAGCTCTACCCAGTGGCCTAAATTTAAAATATGAACCAAACAAATTAAGACCAATACCTGCCAGTTGACTTTCAAAAGACTTATGTCAAACAAGTTTTATTTAAGGCTATTCATATTGTGTGAGAAGTAGGCTACCCCAGCAGCATACTATATTGGCCCTACATTAAAATTTATGTTCTATTTCTTTGTTAACTATCAACCTTCCCGATTTAATTATGTATCACCTTTACTATCAGTTTTATCCATTTTCTCTCGCTCTCAGTATTTCTTCCTTCTAGTATGCATCGTTTCCCACCCCGTATTTGTTGGAATGAAGTAAACTCGTTGCCCACATGAATCTCCGATGCCATTTTTCTGATCGACTCTTAGTTGTCACATGACAAGGCTGAGGGACAAATATCTCACGCAACTTTGTTACGATGGTCATTATGATGTGGTCACCGGACGAATATCTTGAGAACATATTTGTCAGGTTGCCGGACATGTAGACACTTCGAAGAAAATAATATTTTTAATCACAGCTTATTTATATTATGAGTATGACTGAATATGTTTAGGGTAAATGTGAAGAGATGGCACTGCATTATTTTTACCATGGCCGCATTCTTGGTTGCCGCGACCCACGAACTTATGTCCTAAATTTATCCCTGAACCCTAAATCTATTCCTAAACCTAACCTGAACCCTAAACTTATCCCTAAACTGGGTTTTGACCCTATTGGAACCAGGGTTTTGACTCTATCAGTACCAGGGACAAAACACGCAAATGACGTCAGGGTGCTATCTCTTCACATTAGCCAAGTTGGGTAAGCACTATATTACTAATAACAGTCTATAGGCCCTAGCCATGGCTAAGTAAGATGCTTGTTAGGCTTGTTGGTTGTTTTTTTCTTTATACTACCACTTGAGCATCGGCCAAGAAAAAATCCAGTTGTACCGGTTGGATGGGCTATTTAAACATTTATTCTTACATGGGAGTCTGTTAATATTTTTGCTTCCGCATAGAGGCTATAAAGTTATATAGCACAATAATAATACATTTAAATAATTATTACTGCCAAGCTACCGATATGCCAGGAAGAAAAAGATACTACAATTATTTTTTTTGATTCAGATAACGCGGATGTCCACACACAGAATGTGGAAAACGTGAATGCTCAGAAAGCGTAAACTAAAAAGACAGTTTGGCACAAGAAGCGCCGGTAATCTTTCCCCTTTATATTTACATGGATTCATGTACCACAACCGTTTTCGTGGAAATTATAGTTTTTAAAACTTCATTGTCAACTTGGGGGAGAACTATGCATAATTCCATTTTCACACATTATCTTCTATTCCAAAAAAATTGTTATAGTTTTTCTATTTAAAAAATTGTCTATTATTATGGGAATGAATAAGTACAACCAATGTCATTTAAAAATAATAAAAGATTAGTTGTTTAAATAGCCCTTCCAACCGGAACAGCTGGATTTTTTCTTGGCCGACGCTCAAGTGGTAGATTACCATTATATCTACTGAACTATAGATTTATAGATATTATCACTTTTCATCTTCCTCTCTATTCTCTAACTCTCAGGCATCAACTCTTCTATCACTCTACTACTAAGTATTACTATGCAACTATGAATTTCAATTATATTATAATAATTTTATTTTATATTTTATATGAATGAGATTGAGAATATTGATAATGAAATGACAAAAATGAGAAAATGAATTGTAATTCAATTAATTTAGTAAATTACTAATATAATAAATAATAATATAATTGTAAGAATTACAAAGTTTACCGTATTGCAAGTCAACACTCGGTAAATTTGGATAATACGGTACACTCGGTAAGCTTTTACTCCGTGCTTTTACATTAATTTCAAAAGAATTTCAAGATTTTAAGTTCAGCGAATAAATTAGTACGAAATTGACAGCAAAAACACAAACTTACTTCAGTCGCCATTTTTCTTCTTGTTTTGTAATATTAATGATAAACGATGTATCGAATCATATATCTTTTAAAATTCGATACATATCAATGTACTCGACTATTTTCTTATCAACTATTCGCAAACACTGCGCTATAGTCATAATTAAAAAATCCTATACAGCCGGTATTCGACAGCGTAGCAAATTTCCCAAAAATGTCCCTTAGCTGTTTTCTTTCCGTAAAAACAATAAAAGAAAGATTTTAAGGCGAGTTACAAAAAATGTTTAAGCTCGTTAAATGCTCAGTTTTAATATCTATTTAAATTATATATTTCTTATTAGCTTTCGCCCCTGTCCTATTATCTTTCGGACCGTACAAGTTTTTCATAAAGTATTATGGCCCACACACGTTTTTCATAAAGTATTATGGCCCGCCTTAAATTTTGAGTTATGTGGGCCTGTTGTAGAGAGATTTGCAATGTTTCCTTGCCTGGTATTGAAGATGATATTTCACTGGTTGCAAGGGCTACTCAGCGAGCGTATCAGGAACTTGAGTTTGGAAGGCCTGAGGCGGTGGAGAAGGTGGATCGTGTAATCACGTGGCTGCCACTCTCTACTATGCTCCACACATTTGTGAAAAGAAGAAGAATGGCCTGACAGCATGCACATCCCAACCTTGCACTTGGAGTGTCCCAAAACGTAACAGGCTAATAAGCCCCCAAAAAGTGACAGAAAGACCACTTCTGCCACTTAAGCGAGTAATACTTACATCCCCAATTGTAAATGTTTCTCGCCTGTGCTCAAGCTCTCCTTGGTGGAACCTAATTCAGGCTATGTATTAACAACAGCAAAGTCCTCAGAGTTTCGTGAAAAAGCATTTTTGTGGCCTGATGTGGAATACAATTTTAAGGATTCTACAGTCCCGAAAACACAAACTTGTACGGATATTTTTGAAATTTATTTGCTTAATCTTCCCAGTTCCGACGTCACTCGGATTGAAAGAGAAACTAGAGGACAGGCAAGCAATTCCCTGTGGAGAGCTATTCGCCAGGGCTACTTTGTGAGGGTATCATGTACTGAGGGTTGGAAGGCCTGAGGCAATAGACACAAATGTTTCATGTGTTATCGCCTCAACTGTTCCTTTTGGGAGCTTTTTCCAGTCCTTGACTGTCTTTGGCAGGAATGAGCAGTTCCTCTTCTGTGTTCTTGGTGTTATGAGCTGGAACTGCCTGTCCTGGCCTCGTCGCTGTCTACAGGGGGTAGAGGGACGAGTTTCTGTTCAATGCTGGAGCAGTGGACCAGCCCATTATTTATCTTGTACACCACGGAGAGCCTAGATAATCGTCTTCTTTCCTCCAATGGTGACCGGCCTAGTGTTTCCAGCATGCTGCCAACACTAGAGGTGTTTCTTATTACTGGTTTGATCAAATTTTTAAACACTTTTTTAAAGTTGTTATTATCGAGTTTCAATAAAAATGCACCCACTGTGTACCCCAATAACTCAATTGATTATTTACTATCTCTAACTTGGGGGGTTAACGGTAAAACCCGCTATTTCAGAATGTCAAAAATGTGGTTGTTGACATTCACGTGTGTTTCCCAGTCCAATGTTTAGATTAAGATATCAATATATAAATATATAAAAAATATATATATATATATATATATATATATATATATATATATATATATATATATATATATATATATATATATACACATATGCAGGGGTGGTTGCTAGGCCGAATGACAAATAGTCTTAGATTTATATGAAATATAGGCTACAATGCCTACAACTGTATCCCATCAGTATCAGGGATCAGGGCTTGAAAATCTGTGTATTCTTCGCTTTTATTGCACAGGGGAATCTTTGTTAAGGTGTCATTCATTTATGACGTCAAGTAAATTTTACCGATTACTACTGTCCTTTATAAACCCTTTAGAAATTCACCTCCCATGGATATCAAATGAATGCACCTGTGTCAGAAACAGAAACATTTCACTAGAACAATGGTTCTTAAACAGGGGTAAAAGTACCTCCACAGCCGTGAGGTGAGGAAGACCAGAAACTTGTATCTGGTGCCATTGCGAGTTGTGGCTGCGTTTTGTTTTTGTTTGTTTTTAAATCAGTTTTGATGCAGTTTGATTGACAGCAGTCAGTGGTTTTCTGGGGAATTTCGTTGATGCATTACTTGCTTTGTAAATCGTTCTTTGTTTATAAAAAGTTAATTAAAGAAATAAACTAGGATAACTAAATTATTTAATTATGTTCATATTTTATTACAATATATTGTATTACAATATAATTTATACGGTTTGGGGGGCGGGTGTTAAAAACGCAGTGGGCCTGCAGCGCTGCGAAAAGGTTAAGAATCCCTGCCCTAGAGCATTTACTAAAATCTCTCCCCCCCCCCCCTTTTTTTTCCGTCAACCATTGTTTTCGTTCCATCCCGTTTCACGTGGTAGTCCTAATTCTATTTCTGCCGTCTCCACATTTTGCCATAAATTCTCTCGGCTGTCAGAGTCACTACGCCCATTCAATCCCTCCTCAGTGGTGGCCTGAAACTTGATCAGAGACCATTCTTTCCGGACCTCGCATACCTCCTGTACTGATCCTCTCAGTGATCGGAGTTTAAAAACAAAAGAGTTCTAATTGCTGTATAAAAGAATAATGTTAAAAAATGTCTGCAATTTAGGGTCATTACGTGTGATTCTTTACTATAATATTCACATTTTCATCTGACTTCACATTGCTTTAAGCCCCCCTCCCTCTCGTCACACATCGTCAAAAAAATTGACCCCCCTCCCTTTTTTCTTTTTCTTTTTTAGACTCGTGACGTTATTTAAGAATTGCGCCCCCCCCCCCAGTCCAACTTTGTTAAATATTTTGCTTTATATAACTGAGCTACCAGTATGCCTATGTCTTGATTTGGAATAAATTCAGCTACTGCTTTAGTAAAGCAATAACGTAATATTAGTAGTAGTAATATATAGCGTTAGATCTAAGCTATCTATAATCATTCAACGCCACGCGTGTCCAAATAGAGAGCAGGGGCGTCATTTAGGGTTTTTCAGGGGGGGGGCAAAACCAAAAGTTGGATGGCTTGTTAAGTTGTTTATTGCTGGAGGCGCCACAGTAAATAGTGTAGCAATTGAAATAAAAACCAGCAAATCCCACCCTGCCCTAGCCAAATTACGCCCCTGAAGGGGAGCCGCCTTTTTTTTTTCTTTATTAAAACCAGAGGAGAGGAATACGATGAATTTGACTCTGCTTTGATTTTAAGATCCAAGGTTTAACATTGTATTAAGTTCCTCCTTTAAAATTCTACCGTATGGAGTGGTATGGTGTTACTGTTGTAGACTGTGTGGATTTTAATGTTATTTGTTTGTTATCTCGTAATGCTATTTTTTGAATTCCCGCAGATGTCTTTCCGGGAATATCCGAAATTATGTCCTTTTTTAAACTCTAGTAATATATCATTTACGTCGTCATTCAGTGCAACACTTAGTTCTGTATTAATATCAATCACTGTGTTGTCATTATGGTTAATAACAGGTACATTCATATCAAATCATCACCACTACGGATTGTGTCTTCTGTTTCCTCTTATGTTAAAACTGTTGTTATTATACCATGACCATGCCCATGCATTATTCATTTCATTATCATTATAATTATACATGAATGATAATGGGTATGTTATCTCATGTACCATGACCATATTATGTTATATCTTGTAACATGCATTATGTTATCACTTGTAACATGCATTATGTTATCTCTTGTAACATGCCTTATGTTAACTATGTTATTGTTTATTACTCTTACAGTTATTCCTGTCAACATATTTGGTAACTCTATTCAGGTGAGATTCTTTATAACTATCTTTTTTCTTTTTCAATATTATCTTTAATCTTGAGACTTTAGACAATTTCTTTGTTACTTTGAGTACAATGCTAATTTATTTCCCTTTTTGTTGGCTTAGGCTTAAGTATTTATGCCAAGCACCAATTCACCAATTCCAATACTTCATGGCCCACTTCAATATCCTTAACAATTGTTTTTGCGGTCATAATAATTTTTTAAACTATTCTAACCCCGTTTTAATATGTTTTTAATTCCATTATACACGATACACAGTCTTATCCTCTTCTATCATATTTTCATTTGTAAGTGAAATATTGATATCGGCCCCTTAACCTTACTACCAAAGATAAGCTGATACCGTGAAAATAGTGTCACTCTCATTCGGGACTTCCCGATATGCAAAAGGAATAGCTGGTAAAAATTCCAGTTGTCTGGTTCTCCATTCGGCAACTTTTCTTAACATTGTTTGCACTTAGTTGGAGAGGTCCTACAATGTCCTTAGCAACCTTTTGAATCAGTACACCAATCACTCCCATTTGACCTAACGCTAAATGTTTAAGATTTCCTGGCGGACGTGCTTTTTGACAGAAAGTGCTTGTTTTTACGTAATTTTCAATGTCCTTACTACTGATATTCGCCAAAAATATTCGAAAAAAATCTGTATTTTGTCTTTATACTTTATACTTTATTGGATATGTTTCCAGCTAATTAATGAGCTGTCTCTAAAACCACCTTTTGGTATAATGCAGGTCAAACTCATTTCTTATCGACCTTGCCACCAACGTTTAAAGTAAATTATATAACCTACTGGTATAAAATATGTTCACTTATCTCAAAAGTGATTTCTCCCTGTTTTGACAGTTGTGTGCCCTCCACACAGTTCCCTCAAATAAAAGAATGTCTAAATATGCTGTTTCATGCTTCTTTATTGTCCCATCAATACGTTTAAAATTATACGCCATATCAGTCATTGAATTTCCTGGTACCCCACCTCTTCGCCCACCCGAGGCAGCTCTAACCCTAGTCACTGCTTGGATCAGCAACACTACAATTCTTCATATATTCGTTTTCAATCATCGGGTCTATTTTCTGTGTGCGTGCGTGTTAGCAGCACGGTCGATAGTGGCTACATGATAGAACAAGGGAACCATTTTATGCAGAGTGCCGTGTGGATAAAAAATGATCGTGCCGCATGCTTATTTTCTAGGACAGTGGTTCTCAACCTTCCTAAAGCAGCAACCCTTAATACGATTCCGCGAAATGTGGCGACTCCCAACCACAAAATTATTTTCGTTGCTACTTCATAACGGTATAGTAGGCCAATATGTGTTCTCCGATGGTCTTAGGTGACCCGTTTGAAAAGGTCGTTTGAACCCCAAAGGGGTCGTGACCCAAAAGTTGAGAACCGCTGTTCTAGGAAAATAATCTAGTTTAATTATCATCGTATTATTTATAGGCTTTGAAAGTTACTATTTCAGTTCGAAAATAAGCGGTGGAATAATTTTTCATTTGGCAGTCACTGTCATCTTATTTACGACAGTTTGACAATTTTTATACCGTGAGTATGATTATGAATTGTCAAAATTGAAATAGTTCTTTTTACGAAAACAATAAACGGTTTACAGGAAGTTTTTGCGGGCCAGATTAAAAGCTACAGTTCAGTTAGTCAGTGGTCGACAAACTCATTCATTAGTCAAGATAGCCAAAAATCAGCAGCAGAACAATTTTAAAAAAAATTGAGAGTCAAATTTCTTTTCAAGAACCTGTCAAGGACCATGTTTTTCGGAGTCAAACCCGATTTATGGCCGGCTGGCCGAGCCTCACTCAGCTGCAAGCCGCGCTTTGCCGACCACTGATTTAGCCGGATGACTACCCCACGATAGATTTTAGCCCTAATTTCTCTTGCAGTTCGTGTAGTATTGCCATTGGGAATTTCCGTTATTAACCGTCTAAATGGGATTTTTCCGTAGCTGGCGGATTTTAAATAGTTATGACTCACGAGGATGCTGACAAATAAGAAGGGGAATTGCAAGATTGACACATTCAACTCATTATTTACTTTAGTAAATGTAATTATTACTTAAACATTTTATTTAGACCTTATTCTTATTTTTACATTTTCTTATGGGGTTGGGGTGACTTGCGAGTTGCGTAAAAGTCAAATTATACTGTGGTGATGGTGAATAATGAATAATTATAAATTAATAACTTAAAATTAAACGTGAATCGTGAGTAGCCTACTTACTACTGAAAATGACGATTGTGGATTCCGTTTGAGGTTTGACTTGAGCTTGTCTTCAGTGTCAATCAATCATCATAATCCAGCAATGCAATATATTCATCTCATTCATTCATTTAACAATTATTAATACAATAGGGATATACAATGCAATATAAATATGATATTTAGGGATTTTAGGGATTCTTCTCTTCTCTACTTAGCCTTTTTTTTTACCACGTCTGGGGCATATAATAGTAGGCCGTACTCAAGAATTTTCCATTCAACACGGCCACGGTCCTGTGCTTTCCTTTCCATTGAGTTGCTTCCAGGTGTAGGCCTATCCGATATTTGGCATGTCTGCCTCTAGCTCGCGTCTCCATGTATTCTTTGGCCTTCCTCTCTTTTTCCCTGTGGATTCCATGTTAGGGATTGTCTGGTGATGTTATATGGGGGTTTTCGGAGAGTATGCTCTATCCACCTCCATCTTCTCTTTATGAATTTATGATGTCTTCATCTTGACAACATAAAAGCGACTCCTTGCGTGTTGCGGAGCATTTTCTTCCTCATGCCCAGAGTACATTAGCATTTCTCCAGAGGCCAAAGTTATCTGTTCAGCTTTTATCCATCTTGTTTCACAGATGGCAAGCAGTGTAAGTTCTCATTTCTGCCGCCCCCTGTGCTGCTTTCCCTATTTCATACATGGTTCTGATGTTCCACATGCCTATGTCATTTTTTTGTTTGTTTCCTTAGAAAACTTGAAGAAGAAGAGCCCTCTATTCTCAGGGTTGAAATTTGTTGGTTTTTTCTTGTTGAAATTTCTGTAGGAATTGGTTTTTATGGGTGAGGTAGCTGACCTCCTCCTTTCGTAACCAGACTTGGGACCCACCTTGGTGGAGTTATTTAGGGATTACCCATATTATAATATAAAAAAATGACTAATTACAATATAATATAAATTAAATTAAATTAAATAAGGGCAAGTGATTCCCATTTTGGCACCCCTCAGAACGGTGGAAATTATGAAGATTTTCATGTGTAAAAATGATAAATTAGGCTTTCTTTAATTATTAATATTTATTAGTATCTGAGATATCAAATGTATTTATGTTACAGAGAGGAGAGAGGGCAACGCTAGAGAGGAAACTTTAAAATTCACAGAAAAAGAATTCTTAGCAAAACAGCAAGGTGGTAGTCCTATTCAGTAGCTTACAATGGATTTTGGATCTAAGTATGTACTGGCTAATGATGATGAGGAGGAGGTGTCATCTGAAGGTAACTTTGTCACCTTTTTTTCTCCAACAATCTCTGTGTTAGACATAATAATAATAAGGTATGTCAATCTTATTTGGATACCAAATATGGATTTCTTCTTCTTCTATATATATTAAGTGCCCATAGCTCCTATGCATGTAGAGGGGATTTGCAATGTTTCTGTGCCTGGTGTTGATGAGGATATTTCACTAGTTGCAAGGGCTACTTTGTGAGGGTATCATGCACTGAGGTTTGGAAGGCCTGAGGCAATAGATGCAAATGTGTCAAGTGTTGTCGCCTCAACTGTTTGTTTTGAAAGCTTTTTCCAGTCCCTGATTGTCTTTGGCAGGAATGAGCAGCTTCTATACTGGCTTGTCGCTGGTATGAGCGGGAACTGCCTGTCATTTTGAAAAATGCATAAATTTTCATAAATTTTCATAAAATTTTCATAAATTTTCATAAATTTTACTTCTAATTTTGTAAACAACTCAAAATGCCTCTAGTTTTTAAGGTGAATTTGTAATGTTAAATGTTGTAATCAAAGTTAAGATTTTCAGTAATAGCTACTTATAAACTAGTTTTCAAACAAATTCACCCCCCACCCCCCCCCCAAAAAAAATAAAAAAAAAAAAAAAAAATATTAAAAAAAATAAATAAATTATGCAGCATTTACTCAATTTAAAAAGAACGATATTAATAAATTAATGTAGTTTTATGTGGATTTTTTTTTAGGTCAGCAATTATGAAGGTGTATCAAATTTAAAAATGGGAATAGTTTCTTGGTTGAATTGATTATTATTGTTATCTACATTTTATTGCATATAAATTACAATGAAATGTGCCCCCTCAATAGTGATTGTAGACTTCTAATTCGAAGTTTTAAAAAAAATTCATGTTTTTCTTGTGTTTAAAAATTTAATTTGTCTCAAGTTTCAATGTTTAAATAAGCAATTTAAAAGTAAGAACTTAAAATTTAAAGGTATACCTATGCATATTAAATTCCTGAAAATTTTAGTTTCTAAAAAGCAAAAAAGAAAAATGTTTGGTATTCATTTGGATAATGTTATTTAAATGCTGTGGATTGATGTCTTTTTTCCAACCAGCAGAGCTTTTTAAAATTTATTGTTTTGACAATTTTTCTTGATAAACTTTTCAGATGAAGACCTGCCAATGGAAGATTTTTCAGGATTTGAGTGTGAAATTATGGAATTTGGGGAGGATGATGATCAAGAGCAACAGACCAACATAGGGGTGAACTTCATTTTTACAATTATTAGTATAAAATGGTAGTTAAATTTATTTCATGAATAATATTAATATTTCTCTGTACATAAGTATTTGATGACATAAATTTATTCTGCATCCATAAAAGACAAATTATACATCTAAAAAATTCCCAGGACATTCACATCTGGTTTCTATAAAATAAGCACTAAAACAGTGTGGCGAGCGAGATATAAAAAACAGTGACTGCCTATAGTTGAGACTAATTTCCACTATCCATGATATAGTTTTTAGATTAAGGGAAAAATAAATTGAAAAAAAAATTAAAATAATTTTAACTATTGAAACTCTTAAATATATTATCCTTAAAATTCTAAAAATGTTTTTATCATTTTTTTTATTCCAGACTGGTAAAGCAAAGAAACCAAGCACAAATGTAGTCAAACTTGACCTTTGCAAGTTGAAAGAAGATCCAGATCTCAGGTTGTCACTAGGTGACTCAGCCCATTGCAGTAATCCAAAGTGTGGAGCGTTTTTTTCATTTATTGACACAATATACGACAAGGTAATTTAATAATATAATAATAATAATAAGACGTTTTATATAGCGCGGTACCCCAGCCTAGGGCTGGGCTCACCGCACTGTACATAAAAATTTTATCAAAAGAGACATAATCATGACATTAAAATAAAATACATTTATGAAATTTCTATTTATTAGAAGATAAGATAAGATTCTTTTATTGATCCAAACAAATGGAAATGTTTTTGATTGCATCATACATTTTCAGCACATAAATAGAACAATTTGAACACAAATCTAATTTATTTCACTAGTGAAAAAAAACAGCCATTCAGTTAATTCTCTTAGCCATATCAGGGACATTTCAATTTGTGATTTCTGGGGTAGCACACTGGTAAATTTGTACAGATTGGGGAACAAAAGAAAAGCTAAGTTGTATGTGTTACGTAGTATTGCATTTCAGTTTATTTATACCCTGTACACAAACTGTAGGAATTTGAAAGCCCCCACTAACTTAGATTGGATATAATAGGATGTGAAACAACTATTTTACAATGCAAGATATTTGGGAAACAATCTTTGTTGTTTTTATTTTTTACACAATATTGCTCATTTTTATTATAGTTGTGTCAATAATAAACAAGTTTAATACTTGAATTTGAGTGGAGAGTAAAGCCATGCAGCTTTTAAGGTGTCCAAAACTGTAATATTTTAAATCTGATGGAAATAATATAAATAATATAACAATTTGCAGTTATTAACAATAGTATACTATTGGTTAGTCTGTATCGCTATGTAACAATTTTACTATTTTTTTTATAAACAATATTATTATTATAATATAGAAAACCCATCAAATGAATTGGTAGGCAGCAGTGGCATAGTGAGACATTGTGCCGCCCTGGGTGGACTTTCAATTTGCGTCTTCTTTATTATTGTTATCGTACTACATGTTTAATCCATTTATTCCAAGAGCCTTATGGGCCCCAGCCCAAGCGTATGACAATCACCATCTGTTGACAATGAATAGACAGCTATGTGTCCCTAAGTGACTGTACCCAGTGCCTCAAAGGCCTTTAAAAAGGCCTTAATCCGATAATGCTTCATTACAAGGAAAAATTAAGGTGCAAACACATGATAATGTTCCAAGCTATAATCACAGTGGTGAATTTACTATAAGACCAAATGAAACCATGTCATAATCTCAGTGGTGGATTTACTATAAGACCAAATGAAACCATGTCATAATCTCAGTGGTGGATTTACTATAAGACCAAATGAAACCATGTCATAATCTCAGTGGTGGATTTACTATAAGACCAAACAAAACCATTTCTTTTTTGTAACAGATCCTAATTATTGGCATAAAAGTCCAGCATTTAAATTATAATTAAAATACTATAGAGATTTATTTAACTTAGACAAATAATAGACTGTTACAGAGATGTTAAGTTAAGGCCTAAGAATAAAATCCTAGTAGCTGCTTTTTCAAAATTGTATACCTTTTTTTTTAAAACATAGAATTGGACTTGCAAGTTCTGTGGACAAGTAACTGTTCCAAAAGAAGTACCTAAAACTTTAACTGATCCAGAAGAAAAAAAAGATGTCAGTTATGAGCACACTGTAGAGGTCAATGGAAAGGATAAGCCTTTATCCACTGATGATCACAAGATAATTTTTGTCATTGATACTTCTGGAAGTATGGGCAGGAAAGAAAAGGTACTAAATGTCTTACTGCCTTAAAATGTGTTGAAAAGTGTTAAAAATAAATTTTATTTTAAAACATTATTATTTTATAATTTATTTTATACTTCAGACTTTAATGATTTATTGTTATAAAAGTAACCTGTGATCTCTGATTTGAAATAGTTAAATCTCTAAATTGGTTACAAATTTTATATCCAACTAATTCAAGGCGCAATGTAAAATCTTCCTCGGCATCTCACCAATGGGGTGATATTTATATAAGGAATATTTATTATCCACCATCAGCTTGAAATGTAATTAATTCAATATTTAAACACTTAATTTTGTGCTTTTAAAATGGTCACACATCATGATAATTATTTAGGCTAGCAAATGGATCTTTTTGTTTGGAAATGTGAGTGATCATGTTAAAGATCTTTTGATATTTCTTTAAATTATTCTAAAGAATTAAGTCATTAATATTTTGCTTGATTGCCTAGTATCGTTTACATGAAAATGGCATTGTCTTGAACTTTTGGAGATAGGATACCATAAAAATTATGCAAAAAAAATTTTGAAATTAGAACATTCAAGTTTAAAAAAAAAAGAACAGTGACACCATGCTACTGTTCCAATCATGAGAGAGAGTTTTTTAGAGTTGGGAAGGCAAAGGGTAAAGAGGCAAAGACCCACGTTATGAAAATGATTTACAGCACTGTGTCACATATCCGTATTTGATTGCTTTCTTTCTTCATATTCTTTTACATGTTCAAAGCATCGAATTTAGATCTTACTGAACGCAACTCCTCTTCCATTAGCAATGTAAACTTTAACCATAAATATATCTATCAGGCTCTACATTTTATCAAACACATATGGCGCAGCTTGCTATAAGAAGGAGAAATAATGCACAACTATTCACTACAATGATAAGACACAATATTCGTGCACAAAAGATACTAGGGAATTCCCATACATGGCACATTGCCCAGACCATGATGCAAGCTGCTGATTTGCTAAATATAATACGATGGATTTTATTTTGTTGAAAGCCAAATTTTATTCACTAAAAGATATGTTAAATTCCAAAAAAATATACAGATGTTTAAAGCTGATTATTTATTTGAATCATATTCTTATCAGCTTTCTGAGGATAACTTTAAAAAACTTACAAAAACCTTACAAGACCTAACTGTGCAAGATCAAGGCCAGACACCAGTCCCAAAAGATGATGAGACTTACAAAGAAATTTCATGGCTTCAGTATGTACAAGCAGCCATCATTGATCAGATTGCAGAGTTGAAAGATAAGAAAGAAAGCCGACAGATTGGTCTTGTGCTGTTCAGTGACTTGGTAGGTTCAGTAGGCTTAATTCCTCTTCCTTGGGTCTCAGTTCAAACTCAGTAATCTCATTGCTATTTCTATTCTGTAGTTATTTTGAAGGATACATTAATTATCAAACAAAGTGTTGGTAATCACATAAAATGACTTGTAGGACAGTCCATCCGGCTGAAGGAGCAGACATTTTTTCCTCTTAATCTTTTTTAGCAAGATAGCTGAAACTTAAATTGTACCAACAGATGTCACCATAGACAGGGTCAGCTATTAATTTATTAGCAAATATAGTGTCAGCCACTTGGGTATTCTATTTCTTGTGAGTAAACTAAATCTGTCTTGCCAGTCATTGGTGGATTAAATAAAAGCTTTTGTTCTGGGGATTAAAGTTGTGTATGGAATGACATTTAAGTTAAATATTGCGTAAAAGGATTACAACTCAAGTTTGAAAGCCGATTTAAAGAATTAATTTGATTAAATTTATACAGTAAAGTAGAAGTGCATCGAGAAAACTCAAAAGTGACAACTGCTAATTCAATGATAAATGTTAATATAATCACTTCATAAGTTACAATTTTCTGGAATCAAAGCAATAAATAAACTTAATCTATATTTATATAGATGATTCTTATATTTTAGTTTCATTGCAGCTACATCAATATGCTATTCAATTATAATTTGCTACTGTTACCGGTACTCATACTCAAAATTTCAAATTCATCTAACATGCAAAAAAAACAAACTCAAAAAACAAACTAACGGAAAGGGCTAGCATTTAGATTCCCAATTACACCAAGATTATCTTTCTGTCACTTATGGAAGAAAATTTTAGCTTTTTTTATTTGCCTTATTTTAGCCATGTGATAGTGGTAGAGAGGCAGAATTATAAGTAGTTTAAAATTTAGTTTGTAGCATTTACTATTGTTCCGGATGTAACTGCTCATGGAGTTGTCAGAGGTGAAGTCAGTGTTTATTGAGCGTTTGGCTCTGATTAAGCGACCTGGCTTCTGTGGGGCGAGATACGTGTTAGCTGGGATTTTCGGCACTAGCCATGTGACCACTTTTTATAGGAATGTTAGGTGGAGCTTTTTTCGTCTGTCTTTGAGGGAGGGGGGATGTCAAATCTTTTTAAGAGGTCGGTGACGAAGCCAGGAGTGTTGGATTTGTAGTCACTTGCCATGAAGCGCACTGCTTTACGTTGTATTTGCTCCATCTTGTCCATGTCTTGTTTTAGGTATGGGTTCCAGATGATCGCACCATATTCTAATAGTGGACGGACGAGTACGAGATAGACATTTCGTTTGCAGGATGTTGGCAGTAGTGCAGATTTCTTCGAATGAAACCAAATGTGGAGTTGGTTTTTTTTTAAAATTTAGTTTATATTAAATAGTGAAACAAGATATGGTTTATATATATATTACAGGAAAAGTACATCTTTCTAATTTGTTATGCAAATTTTAATGTGCTTTCAAATAAATTCATTCCTGTGGATGAAAAGTATTGACCCTCCATGACTATATTTATTGTCAAGACCATTAATGTTGGTTTGTACTGATTCTGTAAATAATTAAAGAATATTTGTTGATCAAACCATATCATGAATTTCTTATCAGCTAGAAAGAAACTCTGATCTGATATTGTTTTCTATGGCCGTTGGAAGAGGGATCTACCCCTAGACGACCTTTTGCCACAATATTTGTATTTTCTTTTCCATCGGTGAACAGCCTAAATGTATTTTGTTAAATGAAGTCTGTTTTGCGCATCTCATGGTTCATAATTATTTACACATGGCTAATTATTCTTAAACTCACTTACATGGCCCCATACTCTCACCATCCACTGCTACTTCTCATATCCTCTCATATTCAGAAATGTGGGTTTTCATATTTGCAAAGTTTTTTATATTTGTTCTTTTTTTTTTTACATTTTGCATTTCCCCTCATTAATGTTTCTTCCCTGATTCTGAGTATTTATTTAAGATAATGTAAGGAATTTTAATATCACACAATTCTATTATGTTAAATGAAAAATATTTCATTGTTCGATTGAGTTTATATCTTATAGCACATTTTTTAATGTGTTTTTTCATTTAGGTAATCATTTTTGATGGTCAACAAATGAAACAACTTACAGAGGCTGACATGGAAAATGAAAGGAAAATGATTGATGTTGGAGAATCCTATTCAAGCTTACATCCAATTTCAAACACAGCCAACACAATTATAGAAATTTTAAAGAAGTAGGCAACATAACGCACTAACATTTTGAATACATGATTATACAGTTATGGTCATTTAGGTCTTAAAGACTGATGTAAAATTGGATGCATATTATTGTAATGCAAGATGTCACCATGAAACAAAAATTTATTGATTGCAGTGATTACTATGAACTTTTCCATTGCTAATATTATTATCTTACTCTTAATTATTTCAGGAGATATGTTTTATTCATATAAATTCTCTTTAAGTAGTATTTACTAAACTTTTTAATTACAATATATGACATAAGACCTCTAATAAATTAAATGAGTAGCCTTCAACATGGTGAATGTGTACGTTTTGTGGTTTTGAAATGTGTTTTTCTTATTTCAAAATAGTTTTTATTATGAACTCTGAAAATTCTGAAGATAAAGTTTCTTTTGACAATGATTCATTCATGTTCAGATGTAATAAGCCAAAGTGTCCTCATTTTATAGCCATTTTAATTGTTTCTATAGTATAGTAGTTACTATCCTAGTGTCTCATTTTATTTTACTTAGTTTACATGTTTTTAATAATTGTAAAGCGCTTAGAGCTTTAAGGTAAGCGCTATATAAAAATGCCTAAATAAATAAATAATAAGCAAATTAACACTGAATACAAAGCTCACTTCACGGAGCAACATTGGCTTTAATCCATGTTATTCATATCAACTGGTGTAACTATGAGTGTAACATAGTGTATCTCGCTAGAGGAAAAAAATCACAACCTTCCAACTCAAAGACCAAATATCACAAAACATATAATTCAGTCATGAACATGTCATATGGCAATAATGCACATCCAATAATGAATCTAACACTTGAGATGCACAGCACACACTAAAACACAACTCAGGATGTGCAACAACTACATATCAATATCCATACTTGTTACAAAATCTCTAAAGCAGTCTGTCTCAACTTATCAAGCATTATTAGTCTTTTTTTTTTTTAAAGCCAAGGAGCTCAAAGTGAATGTGTTTTAGCTCTATTGGGTTACTTTAAAGACAGGACAAAATTCATGCTTGGAAATTTTCAAATCATATTCAAGAGACTTAATATTTACCATGGTTTTTAACTGGGACCGTATAGTTATTCTCTTTAATATAATGAATGATAAGTCATATGCAATTTTATGGTTTATCATGGAAGAATGATGGGGAAACTTTGAAGATGAAAGACATAATTGTAATAGGTTTTCTTAAACTAAATAGTAACCTCTAAATAAAGAAGTTGTGATCAAAAGTGTAATAATATGTTCTTATATGGACTATTGGATTGAATCATGCATCTATTATACTCTTAATTCAGCCAATAATCTTAGTTGTTAATATTTTTAGTGAGAAACTTCTACATGCTATTGGAATAAAATAATAAGTTTGCTATTTATTATCTCTAGATTGAAAGATGGCGGCCGCACAGCACTGGGCCCTGCTCTCTTGGTGGCTTTAGGAATGACCAAAAATTCTAGAGGATCCAAAATTATTGTCTGCACTGATGGTGCTGCAAATGTTGGTGTGGGAAATTTGGAAGAACCAAGTGATGATGATAAGAAATTTTATGCTAAACTGACAAATAAAGTGAAAGTTGCAGAGTAAGTCATTAATAAGCCTCAATGAGAATTGTTTAGAATGATCATAGTTTGTTCGTATTATTATTATCACTATTAATAATATTATCATTATTATATATCATAGGAGATATATTGTTTAAACAGTTAAAGCTAACAGCAATTAATGGTTGTTCTATAAACTTTTCTGAATTGTTTTAAAAAAAGGTGTGCTATAAATTTAGAAACCATGAAAAACAAAATTCACGTTAATTTAGTTTAAAGAGAAGTTAATGCTATCTTTCATATTTAAAAAAATCAATATGCTCCCTTAAAAGTAATTATGCAAACCTCCATGATCCCCTTATTTTAGTGAGATTACTTAAGGATGAGGTGTAGATTGAAACAAATCATTTATAAAATGTAAAAAGTAAATTTTACTCATGATATCATGTTGCTGCAAAAATTTAGAAAATACGGAAACAAATTAAAGAAAGAGAGAGAATATCTTCCATCTTGTAATGCAATCATCAGGGGTTTGACATTTCATCACTTGGCATTTTGTAGCTATTTTTGTATGATTTTGGGATAATTTTGATGGATGATAAGGACATAGGAAAGAGGTTACATCATCACAAATTATACAAAATATTTGTAAAATGTATATATTTAGAGAAAGATTAAGATGGTGGATATCAATGTATTAAAAAATTAATTTTAAACCTAATTTCAGAGCATCAGTTTCAATCATTTCTTTTAATGAGTGTCAATTAAACATTTTGGAGCAATTGCCAAGAGGAACAGGAGGGTCTGTAAGTTATTTTTTTTTTTGCTTCTGTATGACATAGCCATTACATTTTTAAGTGCATGGTAACCAACTGTTAGATTATTTCACATAGCACATGCACATTAAATGATGTATTCAGATATATTAAATATGTATTGAAACATGGCTGCAAAGCTTAAATCTCTTTAAAATGTGCATGCATACAAAGGTTGAATTTAGTTTTAAAACATACTTATTTCATGACTGCTAAAGCAATATTGTTAAAATATTCCTTAAAATTCAGGTGGGCAATCTTTTTTGTGCAGAGGGTCGCATGGAAATTAATTTACTTTGACATGGTACAGGATAATTTTCTAGGAATCCAGAGTTCAAGACCATACATTTAATAAATTTGTAAAAAATAAAAAAAATAATTATAGTGAGACAATAACTAACCAAAAACTAGTTCACTATTTAATATTGCAGATAGTAAGAGCCTGTTAGTATTCATTTGCTGAAATTGAGAGAGGAAACATATTTAGTGCGATTCTTTTAACTAGTTTCCCATAATTTACCATTTAAGTACTTTTTGAAATGTGCAGTAAATAATCCAACTTAAATCTGTGGACCTGTAGAAAGTTTGCTCACAGATGTAAGCTGAGCCATATAATACCAAAAAATTTCATTGTAATCTATGTACTATTGACTTTTTAAAAGCTTATCATTTTAAATTTGCTGTGATTATTGTTATTGCTTAGCAATGTAACATTCAGTAAATTGATTTTCAAAGGCTTTAACAGAAGAACATTCACAATCATTTAGCTAAAATACCAAATTGAATCCAATGGTTGCATGAAAATCTCATTAACACTTGAAATTAAAAGTAGGTGTATCAACAGTAAAATTATTTTTTGTTAAACAGTGAACATGCTGCATATGTATCAATTGTTAATGTTGTAGACTTAATTTATTGTAAAAAAAATTAATTGGAGCAATCGTATTTTTTCAGGTGGAAATAGTAAAGCCGGAGGATTTCACAAACAGTTTAAAAAAGGATTTGGCAAGAGAAATACTTGCAACTCGCGTGATTGTTACATTTGTGGTGCATAAAGACTTGTGAGTAGCAATTACACATTTTTGATACTTGAAATACATTCTCCTCAATTCTGATAACTTGCTATTAGTTTCAATTGTTATTTCAGCTGTTTTACTGTATAGTAAATATCATCAGTACTTGAAAAGCAGTTTCCAGCAACATATATAATACGAAGAAAAAGAGTTAAATAAAATAGATTTGTCTATTAATTTTTTCCCTTCATATGCTCTCCCATGATCATATCATTCCCTATGCCTACTTGTCAATCACTCTTGATATTTATTTCAGTTAATTCTTCTAGACCTTATTCATGTAATATTTAAGTGTGAACTATAGATAGAACTTTTGGCTGTCTCAGCAGTTTATTGGAGTATGTCTCCACTCATATTATTTAATATATTTTACACTAACACATGGAGGAATGTTACAGCTAGAGAACAGTTTCATACAACCTCAGCTCCTTCCCTGATGCCGCACTATTCAATAGCCCATATATTTTTTTTCCTCCTTTTTTCTCCCACTCACCCAATCCCCTCTACTGTCTTAAACCTGGTTTTTACCTGCGTCTTAAGGACCACAACTAACATAAGCACCACATTTTAAAATTTGATTAATCCAGTCTTGATCATCACATCTAACAGCTTGAATTGTTCCTACCTTCTTGTTATTACTATTCTTGTTAATGGATCTGTTTTTAATGGGCTTTAATGAACATTTGATTTCCGAATGTGTATGTAAAACTTAGAAATACTCAATCGTGACCTTTCATTCAATTTACTGACATATATTTTTCTTTAAGCTTAGAACTTAGAATAATTTGCTGGTGTTTTTTCTTTGGGGGGGGGGGGGATTGTTTGCATGTTCCAAGGTTGGATTAAGTGATAGTAATATTAGAAAATGAAATATGTTCTAATTTTAAAATAAATAGATTTTAAATTGCTCATGACATGTAGCTGAAAAACTTGGATTAAGATAGAATGAAAAGAAATGTTAAAATAAAAATTTGGGGTGGGGGGGGGAAATCTAATTCCTCTAACAGTGAATTGACCGTGCAGCAACACTTTATTGCTGTACATGTCGGCTGGGTGGCAGAGCGGTCTAAACTGAGTCAATTCCAAGCTAGTGGATGTGAGTTCAATACCCAGCAAAAGCATAGACAAGCAAAAACATCACCAGCACCCCGTTGACCTTGGATGGCAACCCATCTAAGAGAAGGCAAAATCTGAACTCAAACCCGGAGGTTGAGTTCCGTAGGTGGTATGACATTGACACAAGGAAAATTTTGACTATTCCTGCATTGTAGAATGCATAAAGAGCACAGGGAAACACACACTCACACTGCTGGTTATCTACTGCTTCCTGGTCTATTTCCAGTCATCTTGAATAAGTCTTTCATTGGATCAAACAGGCAAGGATGAGAGAGTGAGGCTGACAAATTGAGCAGCTCTACTCCCTTTAAAACAAATACAGCTCAAGTCAAGGGTACAATTCAATTCTAAAATTGCCTTGGTCATCCTTGCGTATGAAGGAGGAACAACATATAATATCTAGAGGTAGTGCGAGGGGACAGATTTTTTTCTCTATATTGAATTATGGCATTTTTGGTCAACTGCAGTTTTTTCATGGGAGTGGGGGTGGCAAATATCTTTACCAATGTCTACCATCTCTCACTTCCTACCCCTTGCTCCTTCATCAATTTCCCCCTGCCTTTCTCCCCCATTCATCCTTTCTTATGCCCTCACCACTATCCTGATACATTCCCTTACCTCCCCCATATCATCTCACCCGCCCCTCAACAATTTCCTTTCCATCACTTCAAACCAATCTCTTAACTCTCCTCACCCTACTTCAAGAGCTATTTATTTTGTAAAATGCAATAATTTGATGTACATTGGTATATTTTTTTAGCTACTGTCCTGTAAAAGATACCAGCCAAAAAGACAGAAAAAGTGTAGAGGTACTATCCATTGGTAACATCTATGATGAGCCTCACCAGATAAGCTTCAAATTTACTTTTGGGCCAGCACAGCAACCGCAACCTCAGCAACCACAACCTCAACAACCACCACCCAGTAATACTTGCTGCTCTCAAAATGCACCAAAGCCAGGCCATGGAGAATTGGGAACACCAATGGGTAATCTATTTTTTTTGCATTGATTTGAGATTTTTGTATTTTGAAAGTCTTTTTCTGCACTATGTTTATAACCCTAATCATATACAACAACATTATAAAGTGTGCTGTGTGCTAAGATATTTTAAGAATTATTTTGTAACTATGGTAACCCTCCCACCTCCATAACATGATAATTGGGGTCTACTAAATCCTGGCATATTTCCAGTTGTCTTGACTATGTCTTTCCATTGGATTAAATCATTTAATAAATACAAGCATGAACGTTACAAAACTTACCTCTGAACAAATGAAGTAAAAGGGATCACATTTATGCAGGGTTGGGAGTTTTAAAAATTATCAAAATAGGTTAATTTAATAAAACAAATGGATGTTTGCATCTATTGTTGTTAGTAAGCTATGTGTTATTGAAGTGGGACTAGTTTTAAGGGGATTTGTGATTGTGTTGTATGAAAATATATACCTTTTTAATACTGTTTTTTCTGGTACTTCAAAACAAAAAATCACGCTGGAATGAATCACTAAAATGAGTATATGAAATTTCGGTGTCATTGCCAAGGCAGGGTTATCTCCAATTTCACATTATAGCGGGGTTTCACTGCATCACAAAAATAAAAAATATTAGTGCTTTTTTCTTTAGTGTGTTATTGTTGTTCAGTATTCGCTTGTGAAGATGACCAAGGCAAATTTCAACTTGAGTAGTAGCTTTGACTTGTGCTGTATTTTGTTTAAAATGATGGAGAGTTGCTAAAGTCATCCACCTCACTCTCTCATTCTTGCCTGTTTGATCCAACAACTCCAAGACCACAGGCTATCCAGCAACCCCATGTCTTTTAACTGATCATTTATCTCCTTTTTTAATTGTGTTCCATAATTACAACTAGCATGGTTAGTTATCCAAAAGTTAATATAATAATGTTGTAAATAAAATCTTTTGGGCCCTTAAGAAATTGTGGCTACCGTATTCAGGCTTGATCGATAAGCAAAATAGTATAACCTTGGTTTTATTTAATTGCTATTAATGTTTCAAATATTTTTTCCAAGCATTTGACAATAATGCTGTTAATAAGAATGCAACAACTGTCAGTGACACCATGCCAGAAGGTGACAAGAAACCATTCCAAATACAAATAATGTTTAAGGACAAGAAGGGTGAGTACAGTAAGAGAGTGAGTACAAGGGTGAATACAATGTGAGGGTGAGTACAATATTAGGGAAGAAAGGGTGAGTTCAATGTGAGGTGGAGTACAATGTGAGGGTAACGACAATGTGAGGGTGAGTGTACATTTTGAGGGAAGAATGGTTGAGTATAATGTGAGGGAAGAAAGGGTGTGCATAATGTAAGGGTGAGTACAGTGTGATGGTGAGTACAATGGGAGGGAAGAAAGGGTGAGTACAAGTTAAGTTACACAAATATTTTCTTCAATTACTGATGTGAGTGAAGACTTGTGTTTTTCAAGCAACATGTTCCATCATTAGCACTTTCAATTATATTTGTAAACTTTTGTGTTCATTATTTTTTGGTAAACACTGAAAGGTGTAACAAAATTATTAATGTCTTGTCTGTTGTAAAATTTTGTGCAGATTTAGGGAAGATCATTAAAACAATTTGAAGAGTCAAGTATTTTGTAAATATCTCAAATCATTTAATAAATACAAGCATGAACCTTTTAAAACTTACTTCTGGGCAATTGAAATTAAATAACTAACATGTAAGTCTATAATATCCATTAATGGATTAAAAATCACTCATGAAAACACACTTTGTTCTTATATATTCTTAAAGTTATAAGTATCATATCTTTTCGGCAGGTACATCTTATTCAAGGGTGTGGACCCATTTACAAGAAGTGACCACAAGTCATAAAGAAGCCGAAGAAAGTAGGTTGAACAAAGTTGCAATCTAGTTATAGATAAAGAAAATTGTTCTATACCATACATTAAAATACATCAAAATTATTTTGTTTCCGGTGGTTTGAAAATATTTTATTCCATTTTATTTAATATTATAGAGATAAAATTTTTAATCTGTTAAGGGGATACCTTAAGATGATTTATTCAATAAAAAATTGAATATTAAGTCAATAAAACATTATTTTTTTTCAGACAAAAATCAAGCTACCACTTTGACCTCCTTTTTGCAAGATTCGGCCTGTATAATACTAAAATCTTTTAAAGAATCAAGTCTTACAGCAGTGATTTATAAAGCACAGAATATTTTAAACACAGCATACAAGGAGAAGGACAAGTAAGTATATTTGCTTTAAAAATTGTTTTTAAGAAATGTATATTAAAAATACTAAATTTATTTACAGATATCCACATTTTATATATTTCTTTTAACATTTACAGCGTCAAAGAAGATGACAATGTTGTTAAAAAATTGCTGCTATTCATAGAATGTTTGGAAGAGGTGAGCTTTTTACTTAATTGATAAATATTTTAGGCGAAAAAATTCTTTGAGAGCTGAGATAAAAAGACAAATTTTGCAATTTATACACTTTCTTTATTTGTTGTTACATAACCCTAATGTCAGTAGTTGGTATATCAGTAGTTGATACCTACGTCAGTCAGGGCCGTCTTAATAACATAGGAGGCCTTGGGCACAGCAATGCACTGGGGACCTCGAGCAACACAACATACATAGGCGGTGAGAGTGCGAAAGGGGGCACTCGCCCGATACTCAGTTTGGGGGGGGGGGGAACAGTTCCTGCTTCCCACCAACTCACCAAGAGGAATAAAAATGTAAAAGAAAAATAAACATTCAATAAAGTTAAACTTTGATGAATTCAATTTATTGATATAAAAAACCAAAATCATTCAAAATATATAATAGTTTTAAAGCATTATCAGAGATAAACTCTAAATAATCACAGAGAATGATAAATTATCATTATTGACAGATAGGTAGAATAAATTTAATTATGTAATATAAATCAACATAATCCTTTGTGTAATTTTTTGCGGAGCATTGTTTTATTATTGGTTTAAAGTCAGTGGTCATAATGATGTCATTTTTCATACACATAACTGAAAGCCAGTTCAAACGTTTTTGTCCCATTGTACTTTACGAAGCTAATTCTTACCTTAGTTTTTTTTCGATTCATATCTTGGAAGAGTAAACCTTGTTGATGAGAGTTATTCCCCTTTAAATGTTTTAAATTTGTCCAACTTTGATTCGCATTTATATTTATATGAATTTTGGAATGTGCTGATATATGTCGTGGGTTAAAATAGGGAATTTTAAATCCAATTAAATTGTCGAATTCTTTCAATATTCATTAAAATATGTAAAACATGATGCTTCTATAATAGTTAGTCTCCTAGAAACGTGGGGCCCCCTACAAGTGTGGGGCCCTGGGCTAGCCCCCACTGGGCCCATGCCTTAAGACGGCACTGAAGTCAGTAATTGGTATATCAGTAATTGAAGTTGGTACGTCAGTAGTCGGTGTGAAATTTACAAATTAGTGTCTCAAATTATTTCCCAAAGGGATACAATTAGAGATGTTTTCTTTCTTTTATTAATGTAAATATTTACTGGTTAAAATATGCATGTCTTTCTTTAAAAATATAATCAGATAAGATTGTTTCTTCTATGTTTGCAGTTGGTTGGTGGTGGTGTTGCTACTGATGCTATCTCAGCAATTCTTTCAGAGCTGACAAAAGCCTGATGCTCTCAATGGAGTAAAATACTTTCACAACAAAGTAAAACAGTTGAACAATTTTAAAACAGTACCTTTTTTTTTATCTCAATATGTGAATTATATTATATGCATTTGTTTAATGTACTACTTGTTAAGATTTTATACGCTAAATTACAGCACAGATGTTGCTAAAATGAATGTTTATACATTGGACTAACTAAATTAGAGGAGACAACATAAAGTTTAAAAAGAAAAAAATGAAAAAATAAAAAATGTTGCCATTCTTACAATGCATACTTTAATTGAAATAGAAACTTGACAGTTGTTGTTTTTTTGTCAGAATAATAAAAAGAAATTTCTAGAGCTATTTAATAGATCCATTGTTGTTTTTTTATTTGCATATGATGAGTTAGTTTTGATTGTTGCAAGATCTAGACCTCGCTTTATTCAGTCACCCAACTTATATTTTAGAGATATAATCTATGACGACTATAAATAGCAGTTTGATTTTATGATTAAAGAAATAATATTCTAGATTAAGATATAATATGCTTTTGTTGTTGTTTTTTTTTTTAAATATCTCAGATGCCTCTATACTTATCCAGAGGACAAAGAATAGTTAATTTCATGTTTGGAAAATTTTACTTGAAATAATGATTTCCAATATGCTTTTCAATTAATGTTTTTTAATTTTATTGTAAGCCCTGCTATGATGTAATTAAATGATGACCTTTTTATTGTGCTCTTTTAAAATATATAATTTTCTAACAAACAGAAATAATGTGTATAGTAATTATCATTTGTCTTACATCTGCTTAGTGTAAATATATAATTCATCGATTCCTCTGACAATTTCCTAACAAGTCAGGGTCACATTAAAGAGTCAAATTTTGAAAATAGTTCTGAGCTATTTTGAAAAATATAAAAATAAATATAAATATTTATAGAGTTATTTATAAGTATAAAAGCAGTCATTTTTTCTTTTAAATTTGATTTCTAAGATTACCTATTATAATTAATTCAGCCAATGATGGCAACTCTAACTGGGAGACCAACATACTTTTTTTTTGAGTGTGTGTATCAGTGTATTCAATATTAGTAATCCTTTTAATGTACATTATAATAATATGCTTGAATTTTTTAATGTGAATAACAAATTACAATGTAATAAGATAAGATAAGATAAGATTCTTTCATTGATCCAAATAAATGGAAATGTTTTTTTGATTGCATTATACATTTTCAGCACAAAAATAAAACAATTTAAACACAAGACAATTTATAATATATTATTTGAAACAGCCATTCAGTGAGTTCTCTTAGCAAAATCGGGGACTTATTAGTTCTCATGGAGATGTGTGACTTCAGAGGGAGCACGCCGGTAAATTCGTACAGATTGGGGAAAAAAAGTATTTTTATATCGGTCAGTCCTCGCCCTGATGGAAAGAATTCGTCCCGAACGGCCCGATCCTAAGTATCTAGGATGAAGAGGGTGGGATGTATCCTCCAAAATGTGTTTAGTTTTGCAAAAACATCTTTCTTCAAATAGTTCTTCAAGTGAAGGATGTTTAGTTTGTGTTATGTTTCTAGCTTTCTTGATTAGTCGGTTTATGCGGTGTTTAATATCAGACGTTGAATTCCCACACCAGCAGGCAGTACTGAAATTAAGCAGGCTTCCAATAGTTGCACTGTAGAATAAGTTAACGACTTGGTTGTTTGCGCCAAAATTGTACAGTTTTTTGAGGTAGTCTTTGGTTGAATTTCTTATACAGGATTTGGCCGTGCTCATGCCATGTTAGCTTATTATTAATGGTGACACCTAAGTACTTGTACGCCTCCACTTTCTCCACATTTTGATTTTTTATGGTGAGATCTGTACCATGGTGTTTCCGCCTCCTGAAATCAACAACCATTTCTTTTGTTTTTGAGACATTCAACTGGAGAAAATTTTCATCGCACCAATTGATAAAGCTTGTCACTAAGTTACGGTATAGGCCTTCTCCTTCAGATACTAAGCCAACAATCGTGGTGTCATCAGGTATAGGCCTTCTCCTTCAGATATTAAGCCAACAATCGTGGTGTCATCAGGTATAGGCCTTCTCCTTCAGATATTAAGCCAACAATCGTGGTATCATCAGGTATAGGCCTTCTCCTTCAGATATTAAGCCAACAATCGTGGTATCATCAGGTATAGGCCTTCTCCTTCAGATATTAAGCCAACAATCGTGGTATCATCAGGTATAGGCCTTCTCCTTCAGATATTAAGCCAACAATCGTGGTATCATAGGCAAATTTTAAGATTGGAACTAGTAGTGTTACTTTTTTTTTTTTAAATGCTCTACATTTTCACTGCTAATTCGTTACGGTAATGAAAGTACTGAGTGCATAATGCAGACTGTCTTTGAGATACATTAGTGTCCTCGAAAAATGAATTCGTGACAGATTTCTTATAACTTCATTTTTGAAATTGTTTAAAGAAAAAATGGATTGTTTAATTGGTCTCAAGTAATTTTATAACTAAATTTTTCCCATAGGGATAATTTTATTAGGTCTCATGAAAACAAAATTACATCTTTTTAGATAGAAGGAGAAAAAAACATAAATGGCATTCAATGATATTTTTAATAGTGAGAAATAAAGGAAATGTAAGCACAAATGTCAGCTGTGTAAGATGTCATTTCTTTATGATATATTACGTTAGCACAGGATTTGTCAGCTAATACACAAGTTTAAAAATTCGCAAGATGATATTTATTATTTTCTGAAATTAGCAGGTCTGCTCAACTTAAGACAATCAATTTTCGCAAAGTGTATACAATGGGGTTGGTCAGATATCATTACTGAAAAAAACAACCCAGAACTTTCAACTTATGCCTGGTTTCCAATCTGAGAAAAATAAGATTGTCTTTTGTTAACTTCCCTTGATCTGTCTCCCCATGAGGTTAATTTTTCCCCCATATCTTAAGCTTCTTATGCTTTGAATGGAATTTTTGTTTTCTGTCTATCTCGTCTGGCACCTCGGTCGTTGCCGGCCTTAAAATCCTCAATGAAAGTGGCCCACTTCTCTTTATCCCACACTGGCCTGAACCCCGTTTCATCTTCATCTTTGTCTGGGTACGACAAGATCCCAACAAGTCTTTTAGCTTCATCTGACTGAGCTGCTTCAGGTAACCTGTCCACTGAATTGGGGTCTTGGGCCAGGTGTCTAAGGACATGAGTGGAGAACAAAAAAACCTCCTGAGATGGCCAGTGGGTCGTCAGTCTCATTTCAGCGTATGCTTTTCTTTTTAAAGCCAGGTCGTTCTCCGAGGCCCACGAGGCGGGTGTCATGCACACGAACACAACGAATCGCCACCGGCCAGGATTCAGTCTCCCTTTCACTGGCCGCGCGTTGGCGTGAAAGAGTCGCGAGTCCCACAGGATGAGTCCACCCTTGGGGCAGGGCACGCGTCTGCGGCGACAACCTTTGGCTTCGAACCATCGAATGTCACGTGGGCTGAGTTTCCGACATCGCCATTGACGAGTCATGTCCAAAAACTCGTCGAAATACTTGTGTGACCCGTCAACAACCTCGAATGTCCAGTCGTCTTCTGCGCATTCTTCTAAATATACAGCACCCTGCAGTAAGAAATAGTGGTAAATACAAATAAATGATTTAAATTTAAACACCAGTCAATAGATTTAGAAATGATAATCTTTAGACACATTTTAATTTATTGCAATATAAAATTGACTCTAGTCTTAGATCCTTTTCGTTACAAACCAAAAATAAAATATTTAAGTGAAAGTATTTAAAAATTGTAATAAATGTGTGGTTCCATGCCGATTTATAAATCTGTAGTATAAGGCCTATTTCAAAATACACGACTTTGTTTATATTTATTTACTTTGGTGGAGGAGGGGAGACACTTTTTTACATAGTTAATAAGGAGGTGGGGGTCCTTGAAAGTTTACAGGGGAGGAAGGGGTCAAAATCCCCCCCCCCCCACACACACACACACTTTTTTATCCCAGGTCTTTTTGGCCCCATCTACTTTCACGAAAAAAAACTCTGCACTTGTCAGAAAATGCCGACCCCCATTTAAATTAAAAAAGTGACGCCCAACCCTTCCGCCCGCTCATTTCCCACGCCACTGACTCAGAGCTAATATAAAATCCACCATGCTTGATTTTTTATTCTCCAGCGCTTCACCCTTTTCTGTCTTGTCTCTTTATTTGTGTGCCTCTATTGATTTTATCCAAATCAAATGAGCATGTACAAAGTCATACTGTTACGATGATAAGAGATCACAAAGAATAATATTTTAGATTTTATTTGATCTACCTGATAAGCGTGCAAACCAACTCGGTCAGCTGTCTGGTCAACATGAAGCCAGTTATCATCAGGTTCCCAAAACTTCTCTGAACTAGTTTCAGGTGGTCTGCCAATAGCAATGGCGTCCATGCTGCTCAGTAGTTTCTCTGTGCCCCAAAGCTGCGTAGTCAAATAATAAATAAAATCATACTTCTGAAATAGTTTCATCCTACACAAATGGAATACATAAAGTAAAAGAATCACAGTATCAAATTCCAATCCGTAAGTCGGTTCGGGATTGTTTTCAACTGACAGCAAACGAAGTTTTGAGGAATACAAATTTGTGTTAGTTGGATTCTTGTGGAAAATTGTATTTAATTGTGAGAGGTTTGATCCTAATGTCATACCTCTAGGTAAATATCAAATAAATTGGTCTCCTTTTTTTATACCTGGGAAAATACCGGTTTGGCTGCAAGTCGAACTTCCCAGGCTGGCTGTAAGTGTCCAGATTTGTACCTCTGTATGAGTGAGTTGGTGGTCATGGGCCATTGGTCAACAGGGAATGTGTCCAGCCATGTCCTGGGAATTTAAAAGGTCCAAAAGTAGAAACAGTTCATTATTCCACCGTTAAAAGAAACAATTTAAAAAAAATGGATTTCTATATCACAAAATTTAATAGCACGCATGAAGTTGGTCAGTAGTCTTCATCAAATGTTTATATATATGAAGTTGGTCTCATATCTGTTTCATTGATTACAGCATACATACAAGCATACCTTCTATCTGTAAAGTTATAACACTTACATAGACCAATTACCTGAAATATGTCTGCTTCTGAGTTATAACATGGGCCTACATGAAATTGTTCTACCTCAGTTTTATAACCTACAAGAAATTGGCTTTAATTTTTTTTTTTTTAACCAACATGAAATTGATATATCTCGGTGCTTTAACCTACCTGAAATTTTCCTGATGTCTGTGACACTCAGACTCCGAGATAACACCTTCTACAACAGTGACACCAAGCGTCTCCAGTTCATCTCTGTTTCTTTGTGTAAACATTTTTTTGTCTTCTGAAAAACTAGGCAGAATGAATAAACATATATATATATATATAT